GTCGGCCTTGTCCCCCGCTAGCAGCTTTGTGGCAGGGCCGAGTAGTAACACTGTACGCACCTGAGGTGCTATCAAATCATCATCCCTGTGTATATTTAAGGCTGATTGTCTTTGGTGCGATGGGCGGAAACACGACCCTTTACCTAGCCACAAAACTCGCTTTAATGTTGACAAAGGCTTTTGATATTTAGTAAGAAATTCAATTACGAGACCATTGCAGCGAATTGCCGCTTCCTTGCTTTGCGAAATAACAGGAAGGGAGAATGAACAGGGCAACCGCCCGTCACCTTTCGCACATGTTCTAGACTGAGCCATAGGTTCCATCGGTGCGTTGTAACATGTTCGTTTAAACACTGTTAAATGGAGGCTTCCGGGAAATGTCTGCTGCAGTACAGAATCGCCAGACAATCATGAAAACGCTTTGCAGTACAATACGACCCTTGCTTTTACCCGGCAGGATGAATTTGATAACGAAGCAGTAACAACTGTTTATGTGTACAGCCACCTCATCGACAGACAGCCCCTTCGCTGGAAGTGCTTAAAGTGACGTACGAGGCGGCTAAAACCCCATGAAAATGCCGTTTCCCTACAATTAAGTATAACAAAGTTTATTTTCGGGCTCAAATTTGGCCTACGTATAAGTTTACAGGTATGCTGTTATTGTCTACTAGTCTAGCCTAAGAAACGGGCTTTCTGCCGAACGCACTCATGACTTTAGAGTTATTATAATTCACCTGAAGCACTCAATTTTGTTCTCAGTTATTCTAATGTATGCAACTGTCAGTCATAGAGTGGATGACAAACGGACATACCGACAGTGTAAGTCTGCACTGATTGGGTTTTCAGGAAAAAATCTGTGTCCTCGCTTAATACACCAGATATTATGTAGGAATTTTGCCAACACGCGGGGGTCGCTATCGCGCATGAAGACTAGCGCGTCTGTATCAGACGCAGGCATCGGGATGCTAATAAGTTCACATGACCTGGAGCCTGCCCTCACAAAATTATAAACAGTTCAATGATCCTGCTCGGCTTGACCACGGCAATTACTCTACCGCGGACGTGTCACGTTGCCATCTTAAAGAGTCCGGCTCATTGCCGCTTTTGGTTGTGCAGTTTTCTGGGTCTGTTAGTAATGCCTGTTCTTTGTGTTGCCGTATCTGTTTCGTTCTGGTGGCTTTTCTCCTTCTCCTTTACCTCGCGTGTGTGTTTGCACGTCTGTCGTACCTCGGTTGCTGTTGCACTGGCTTCTTTCGAAGCCTTTTTCAACTTGGATTTCCTTGTTTCGTTACGGCGGGTGCGCTTATTGCTTTAACAAGCAGCGGATGTACCACTCACATTAGTATCTCAACGCCTGCGGAACACCCAACCCTGTTGCCAGCACCTCCTTGAGGTACGGCATAATTGCCTGACGCGACCGCCTCCGATGCTTGGAACAGCCGCTCGTCCGCCCCTGCTTGCGCTACCGCCGATCCCCCCTTGGATCGGCGGCTGCTCCATTCCTTGACCGTCACTTCCGGCAAACCCAATGACATTCCCACCCACAGCAACATGGCTCGCCGGTATCTTCTCGTAAGACATCGGTCCCTCCCGAAACTTGGAGGGTCACGAATGTCTTCCGCCGCGCTTTGTAACCATCCCTGTCCCTGAACAAAGGGCCGTCTGGGCTTCAATTGGCCGCAGCTAGGAAGCGCCGCAGCAATCCAACCAGGCACGCCTCTGTTGTCCCTGACCTGCACCAGAAACCCTCCTGGAACTGATCATTCTTCCGTTGGGCCAAGAAAAGCTCGGCTCGATCCCCAAACAAGTTGACTTATTTTAACAAACCGTTGTGCATCGTGTCAAATCTCAGAAAGCCCGAGTAGCGCACAAGCACGTAGGTGGCCACTGTCAGCTCAGGCAAACGGTGCTCTCCAGCTAACAACCCTCGAAAATTCTGCACACCATCTCCGTGAGTCGTTATGCTCCTTCCGATTCTTCACACCTACTCCCAAGCGCCGCTTTACTGCCGTGTGTAACGCCTTGCAAAGCGTATGGTTTGCCGGCTGGTTCACCAGCCCCGCCATTTCATGGTATGCGGCAATTGCCGCGCGTTCTGTCTTTACCACTGCATATGAACTACTGCCCTTTCAGCGACCGCCATCCCGTGATCGTATAAAAAGACACGACCGCCGGGTAGGCCGGCAGCGCACTGTACTGGTCCATATGCCCTGGAGCATTTCCAAGACCCTTGGTACCGCACAAACGTCGAAACCGGCGGGGAATCAGCCATCATCTTGTATTGGTACGTATGCCAAAGTCCGGTCCAATGGATGACCCACCCTGAGACCTGTCCACTGCCAAACGTCTTCCAACTGCAGCTCTGCATGTGCACACAAAGAGTACGCCCACTCAAACGGGATCTCGTAGAGTTCTGCGGCCAACCCAACCCGCCCACCCAGTGGATGGCACCCACCCTGCTCCAAAAGGACATATCCTACCGGCAAACACTCGCCACCTAAGATGCCACTCCAGGCAATACCATATCCTCAATGACCGCCGGCGACCACCGCCCCCGGATGGGCACCATAGCCGCCGCCAGATTGTCGAGCACCAGGCGGGAATGACCACATGACCTCCTGTGCCTTAAGGAAAGCGAATAGCCGGTCCAAAGGGGCAAATGCAGGGTCGCACTAACTATTTCCCTCCCCCCACGGCTGCGTTAAAAGTCAACCGCCTCTGTCCCGGGGCAGTAAAATAGCGAATTGAAACGCCCCATCTGCGCATTGCCATCCGATCTGTGTGAGGGCCCAATCGCCTGTCCAGGCTCCAGAACCACGCCGGATCCAACTTCCAGTGTCTGCTGTCGCGGGTTTTGCTGAACGCATTGGCGATGGGTACTGCCAGGGTAATCAAGACACCGTTAACTGCACTTGTCACGATTTGTACCACCAGCACGCATGCAGCAAGTAAGCATACGTGTACATATGGGGTTACCTGTCTTGCCTATCGAGGGGCGATTAGAGGGGCGCGGAACGGAAGCTGGACCACATGTGCACATGCGCATGACGTAAGGAATTAGAGCCCTTGGTGCGGGGCGTGAGAAATCAGAGCCCTTGGTGCGGGGCGTGAGAAGGCAGAGCCCCGGGTGCGGGGCGTGAGAAGGCAGAGCCCTTGCTGCCGAGAGCCAATGCTATGTTCCTATGGCGTAGAAAACAGGGGAGATAGAGTCCTGCTTGTCTCGTAAGAACAGGTGAGCAACAAATCTTCTGGCACCCACGTTATCGTAACTACTGAAACATATGAGTATTGGAAAGTTACCTCTTGTACGGTGAAGCAGTTTTTAAGGTTGCGGCTCGCCCTGTTCTCTTTGTGCAGTTAGAAACACGCGGCATGTTATGTGTTAATGTTATACTGGGAACTCGCGAGAGGTCGTAAGGCCCAGACGAGCCAGGAGGCGAGTTCTAGCGTAGTTAAAAAGAAGAAAGCGATCGTTTGGAGTATCGTTCCTTCAAGCAAGCAATCTCACGGCGGGCGCTAGGATGGCATGTTCCATAAGCTGCTTTTACCAGAAAAGCAAATAGATTTGGAATGTTAACAATCGGGCATAAGTTCGCCGTATAGCTTAGTCAGACTGTAAAGGTTTGCATTCTTCGTGTCTCCTAGGAGCACCGTTGTTTTTGCTCGTTGATTAGTTCGTATGACAGAGGCCTAACCGCAGCGCTGGTATACAACACGCTTGAGGTTGTTTGCTGCTAGTACATTTCGGCTGAGGATCGCCGGTGAACCGCCGGGTGCAGTAAGATGACACTTCCTTCCACAACGGAAGAACTGTTGGCGCTGCTGGACCGTAATGGGTGGAGTACAAGCGCGGTGAGTTTATCTTCTCGCTCACAGTGTAGATGCAGTCCTCAACCAATGAATATACCGTAACCAAAAGACAGCAGTTGCTATAGTTATAGCATATAGTTACAGTGAGCTTTCTTTGTACATTCATCTTATCCCGGACGGTCAACAGGCAGGAGTGCTGCACTCGGGTTCCGTTGCTTGCTTGGCACCATCAAAGCCACCTTATCGCTCTTTTGCCCCAAACCCCATGCCAAATAGCGGAAACTGCTGACCCTCCATCGGCCTCCATCCCGCGCCGCAGTTCAGACGGCACTTCGAACTTGCCCTCTGGCCAACAGAGTTGCGGTTGCAATACTTCGAACCGCTGTCACAGCAGCATCAGCAGCACCTGCCGCGAGGGCAGCAATCTCTGTTGCTACCACCGCAGCAGCAGCAGCAGCAGGTGCCCACACACCTTCCCGCCGCATCGCCGCTCCTCACCACTGCCGCAGCTGCTGCCAGCACCCGTATAGAGGCATCCTCCGTACGCATATGCGATTTGGTAGCGCGGGAAGCCGCCGTTGCGTACGGCAAGATACGACAGCATGTAAGGCAGACTCCACTGGAGCCATCTCCCTGGCTTTCTAGCCTCGCTGTCTCCGGATCCAGCCAGCAGCATTGTACAACAGTGTTGCTAAAGCTGGAGAGCGAGCAGCACACTGGTTCATTTAAAGTGCGCGGAGCTCTCACTAAGGTAGTCGTACATGGGTAGGTGCATGAGTCGTAGGAGGATGGTTGGGTGTTGAGTGGCTTTTGACCTCTCTCCCCCGGGGGGATAGCAGGCGGGCCACGCACCCTGCTATGTGCCTTCCCTACGGCGTGCCCGACGCCTGCTAGCCCACAACTCCACCCTACCTATCATATCGTCTGTATGTACACCACACTAGCACTGGCTGCGCCTCGCTCCCTAAGTAACATGGGCTCGAACACCATCGCTATCACAACCACCACCATCACCACAATAATTCCAAACACCTTCCCTTGGGCGTGCGGGGCCTACTTATTTTTGTCGGTTAGCCCCTTCCATGTTCTGTCGGCTTCACTTAATTGAAAAGTGACGCTTGGCTTGAACTCCTGCCTTTCCATGGAGGCTAGGCCCCCGCATGCTATACCCCGGCCCGCCCCAAAAGCAGCTGCTATCACTGCGGTCAGAGGCGCTCTCCCGTGGTGTCTTCACCGCCTCCACGGGAAACCACGCCCTGGCGGTGCTCTACGCCTGTGCCGCGCTCTCTTCCGAAGCTGCAGCTACATCCTCCGGCGCAACTTTAGTGTCAACAATAGCCGCGGCTGCAGGTGATGGCGACGTGTTGGCTACAGCGGGCGCTTCTACGACTCGTCAGCCACTGGCTGCAGCAGTGGCGGTGGCTGCGGGTGCTGGGACAAAACAGCAGCCGCTGCCACCCCAGCTGCCGGAGCCGCAGCCGCTCCAGCACCGCCAGCAGTCCGTACTCCAAGGAGAGCAACCCACAGCCGCCGCTGCCAGTGATGCTGCTGCTGGTAGTGGTGCTGCCGGTGGTAGCGGCGGTGCTGGAGTGAATAAGAGGCTATGGCTACTGAGACCGCAGCTGTACGTCCCGACTACAGCATCGCTGTTTAAGGTGCGTGGTCTTGCCCTGTCTGTAATTCCTAATCAAAAGCTCCTTAGGCTGTGGGTGTCCTGGGTCGAATCCACGCAGCACACTAGACCCATGGGTGTGAGGTGCCGCACACAAACATGCTGCATGCAGTCGCTCCGGGCAGCTTTTCAAGATACAGGTCGTCTGCTGAGGAGTCTGCTCGGCAAGCCGGCTTGAAGTATGTATGCCGTGACCAGCACAATCCCTGGCGCCCTCCACGTGCCCTCGTGTTGTTCATTTACGCACTATCTGTTCAGCTTGTCAGGCGAGACTAGACTGTCACTATGGACCCGCGGACACAGTGTCACAGTGTTGCCCTCCGTAACTGTCAGGTAACGATGCCGAATCGCCGGGATGGGACATAATAGGGAGCGGCAGGTTATAATGGGGGTGAGGGGAGACTAGACGAGGAGCAACCACCACTACTATGGCAGCCCGCTACCATCCCTGGCCCAAGCTGGATTGAGCCCGGCAGAAATCGGGGTGCAAGGTCTGCGTGCAGGTAGCCCCAACGAGCAGGTAGCGGCGATAGCCCTAGCAGCGGATGCTGCCCCCAGGCCATGAGAGAGGATGGCTGGTCGACAGGTCCAGCCCACCGGCGGCACCTCTCCCGAGTCCTCCTGTTTTTAAGTGGTGGCTGCAGCTGACTAGGAGGCAGAGGACCCCCTACTTCCACATTATTCTCATGATCATCACCATCGTCCTGCTCTTGCACTCCATCCACGTCCACTTCAAAGCTTCATGCACGCAGCCATGGGAAGCTGTGAAGTGGGACGTGCGGCGGTCTGCTGGTTGCACAGGGCCAGAGCCCTCTTTCGGCTTTGGAAAAACTGGAGGAAACCCCAAGACTCTGAACATTATCTATCTTTCATATGCTAAACGCATAACAAAGTTAGGGTATTCAAGTCCAAGTAGATGCCGCGTCCTTCACTCGCCCTCGTCATTCGGTGTGTCCCCGTTCGCACCCTCCTCTGCTGTGGCCAGCTGGCTGCCTCTGTGCCCCACCCCACAGCGGCGGACTCCCTACCATGCCACCCCCTGCTCCGCCTAGCAGGTAGCAGGGGACCCATGTCGCGACCCTCGCCAGCCGTAGTACGGTCTACTGTCGTAGCCAGTACGTTTTCTGTACAAATTCCAAAGCACAATCCTAAAATGTGCTTTGGAATCCTCTCATAAAGGTCTAATATTCAATCACGGGAAATTTTCTGGACAACAATACCTTTCCCCCCTCTGGGAAATAGGAGCTGCGGAAGCGCGTTAAGAAAGGGAACATCCATCTCTTCACATGATTCTGCATAAGGCATATACAAATAATGTGTGGCGCGGCATTGCACCACGGGCATTAGTTGCCAGATCCAAACCTGTTTGGGGCCTTGGATTGGGCTCGTCATTGAGGAAGCGTCGTGTGGGGCCTTTCGTGTGCCCCGCAGATCCGCAAGTTGAAGTCGCTGGGTGCAGAGCTTCACCTGTACGGCACCGATTGCCTGGAGTCCGAACTCGCGGCACGCGCCGCCGCCACGGCCGCCGGGGCCGTGTACATCAGTCCATATAATGACCCGTGGGTCATGGCGGGCCAGGGCACTATTGGCCTGGAGCTGCTAGCGGCGCGGCGGCGAGGACATCTGGATGTCGTGCTGGTGCCGGTGGGCGGTGGCGGACTAATCGGCGGCGTGGCCTCGGTACTCAAGGCGGCGGATCCGAGCATCCAAGTGGGTTATAATAGAGTCGGTTAATGGCAGTTGGTAGTTGGGTGGTTGTAGATGTTCACCCTGTGTTGTAAGATCCCGCTGATGGCTTGCCGCCCACGCATGCGTTCATGAAGATGGTTTCCACTTTTGAGGACATGAGGAACAGCTGCCGGTGGCGGCTGCCGGAGGAGTTATTTGTGGGGGGGGGAGGGAGAGGAGCGCCTTTAGCCGTCCGGAGGGTGCTTCCGGGGGCCCTGGGTGCGTGCCAAGGAGCAAGCCTTGGATGCGGCTGAAGCCACGGCTTACTTTTTTGAGATGCAGAAACGCGGACTGGGTAATAAGCTATACCTCACCTACACAATCCAGCAGCCATGAAGTCATGCCGGTGATCGGCCTGCAGGTGATTGGCTGCCAGCCCGCGGCCTCGGATGTCATGGCGCGATCCGTGGCCGCCGGCAGGATCGTACCTGAGGTTGAAGTCAAAAACGGTGGTGACGATGCTGACGGAGGCGAAAGCGGGTGGTCAACTCTTTCCGACGCCACCGCTGGCGGCGTGGAGTACGGCAGTATCACCCTGCAGCCGTGCATGGACTGTGTGGATGAGTGGGTGACAGTCAGCGAGGCGGAGATTGCGGATGCGCTGATCGGGTTGCTCGAGGAGCAAAGCAAGCTCGTCGAGGGTACGCCGGGCGGAAGCGGGATCATGTGGGTGACGGGTGGGTTAGGTGGTCGCGGGTGCGGTGGTTTACGGGGGAACCGCCACCGAGCGGTCCGCCACCCGGCGACGCGTCGATAATCACCAGGTATATCCGTTGGGGCCTTATGAAAGGTTGGGTTGGAGTAGGAAATGACGCGAATGTCATGGCGAGAATACGGAATAAATAACGGCGACCCTAGCAACTTTGTTACTTAGGTTGGAATAAATTGAGACCCGCCCTAAATGAAAAAAAAACACTGGGCGAGAGGCCCGACCTTCTCGCCAACCGGGGGAGGGAACGATCGGCCACAAGGGCCCCTCGTTCGGGCATACGATTGGTAGAAGATACTGGTAAGATGTCTGAGTTCCTGGTTAAGTGAATGGCCCGGGTGTGAGGTGGTGTTGGAAATGTTTCTCCTTGCCGTTGTATGGGGTTTTGGAGCTCAAACTACGGTTGCACCCTGCGTGTTTTGGGATGCAGGAGCTGCCGCCTGCGCGCTTGCGGTGTTCAAGCGCCTGGCGCCACGGCTGGCAGGCAAGACCGTGGTGTTGGTGTGCTGTGGTGGGAACATCTCGCTGCCCACGTTGCGGCGAGCTATGGACATGGCGCGGCCACCAGAAGCGCCGGCAGCAACAGCAACAGTGGATATGCGGACTACAGCGGGAGCAGCGGCGGCAGCCGAACAGTGAATTCGTTGATAGGAATAGCAATGGAAATATAAGACTCAGTTAGCACATTTAGTTCGTACTGAGGGGTTCATCCTGCTGACGGTGGCGGGAAGGTGTTCCCTGGAGCCGCCCTGCTGCTGGCCACACAGTACTGTATCACAGGTACCGTCTAACGTACCAAGGCTGGTCGTACGGTACATAAAGGTTGGGCATATTGGGCTTCATAATTTTTGGCGCGGATGGGAGCATGTGAATCCACCTGCCACCAGCCGGTTGATCAAATTAACAGAAATGACAGTGGGTGTGGGCGTTGTTGTGGGTATAGGCGTTTGCCGTAGCGGGGATCGTAGTGACTGGCTGAAATCGTGTCTGGTTTAGGGAGTAGCAACCACGTTCCTGTCAGCTGCATGCGCTTGTCATTAAAAGAGTTGACAAGCGTTGACTCGAGTCGCACGCAGTGTTGCGCGTAGCTTATGCAAAGGCAGCCGGGCCATAGAAATCAAATCATGAACCGCTTATAGAGAGGAACGGGAGGAGAGGTCTTACAGCTAACACTGCGCCAGCACCGGGAGCTTGTTAATCGTGTCGGGGTCGACGGGGAGTCTACGTTTTCAGCTACCGTGGCAACTAAGCCCAGCCCGAATCAAATGAAGATATGATAGCGAGTTAATTTGTTGGCTTTTTGGTGTGGTATCCTGCTTTCCTTGGCCTAGACCTCAGGAGGAATGCGTTAATCGACGGACGTTAGGATCCAGTCGGTTAATCCCGTACGCTGTCTGCCAACTCGAGATTTACTGTGGATGTGCTGTCGCGATATGCTTGCTCTGTTGGGCATAGGAATAAAATGAAATGTGGTGATGGCCGGCCTTTACCGCAGCTGTGGTGTTGTTCAACACGACAGGCTCTGTGAACAGCTATGCAACGACACGTAGAATTCCGAAAACCTCTTCAGCCCCAGGGAGGAAATAAATCTAAAGCGGCTGTCTTATTTCACCATGTACAGTTGTGTGCCGGTTGCGCTTGCAAGGCTCGCAGAAGAAACACGCTGTCCTGTCTGTTTCGGTGAGGCGAGAACGCGAGGTTTATCGCTGACTTGTATACTTGCGCAATAGTTGAAGAAGATGCGTCGTATGACTGCAATTTGGTCGCACTGCATGAGACCTTGACATTTCCCCGGGTCGTATCCAGGCATTCTGAAGGAAACCGTCACGTCTACTGTCTGCCTTCATCGCTTTTGCGCGGCGTGCATTGATAAGTGCCTGGCCGGAAGGTGGGTTGCGCGCTCACCTTGCCCAATTGTCTTGTCCTGCGTTGTGCTCCACATCCATGATTCTGAACGCCGCCTCCGCAGGCCCCCACAACACAAGGACTGCCCCGTTTGCCGCGCCAACCTGCACAGCAGACGCTCCCTGCGTCCGGTACGGTAGGCAGGACCTCTCACCTTGGCGACAGCTGCACACGGGGAGCTTGCTTGCTTGTTTGCCTAGCTTTACTGGGTGTTTCCAGTTGGGATGCCAAGTGACCCTACTGTTGAATTCCACACAGGTAGCTCTGTTCCTTAATCTTCGCAAGCTTTGCTCAGGTTTCCAACGCTGCTCACTATTAGCCTGCGGATCACCCTCCACCTCCTCATTTATATGCAATTAAGAGGGCAAGCACCGGCGCCTTCCCACTCACCCCCTTCCCCATGTAGGACCCGAATTTTGACCGTCTCCTTCGTGCTCTGTACGGCGATGTGGTCGTGTACGGACAGCAGGTGCGCTTTCCAGTTCAGCTCTGTGGCTCGCGTCATGCTGCTGGGAGGACACCCAGTGCCTGTTCCCTGCTTGTATGTTTCTTTGATGGGATGGTGCCAAAAAGGCCGTGTGTTAGGCCTTCCAACTAAATCTAAACATGGCACTTCGTCCATACACCGTCCGATTAAAGGGTTGGCCTACACGTAAGGGACGAGGAGCTCGGGGGCGCGCACCCAGACATACCCCGGCGCTGGCGCTGCTGAGCCCTTCACCCGGAGGCAGGATAACGACGACGAGGGGCACTGTGTGCATTTGTAGCACGCAGTCCGGACAGCCGGAAACAGCCGGAAATGGACCGAACCGAACAGCTGAACCCGATCTGAAACGGACTGAAACGATTCGCGCAGATAGCAAGGCTGGGCTTTGCTGGGCCGCGCCGGGCTGGGCTGGGCTGTCGCCTCCTTCCAGGCGGCTACCAATCCGTTCCGGAACCCGACGAACTCTCCCTCGAACTCTCTCCGGGAAATCCGGTGCTCCATCCCCCTTCCTCCGTCCCAATGCTCCCCGCTTCCCCTTCCCGCCCGTCCCTCTCTCGCCCCGGCAGCAGTTGGTGCTTTGGGCGTGTGTCGGCAGTTGACCCTTTGCAGCTTCTGCTGCATCCTTCATGCGACTCAACCCCCCCCCTTCAACGCTCTCCCCCCTCCTCCTCTCCCCTTGGCGTTGCGTTGTTCAGGAGGACTCCCTGGTGGCCGCACACAACCGGGCGGTGGCCCAAGCGGCCAGGGAGGCCCAGACAGCCCAGCTGAGCAGGGCGCAGAGCGAGGCGGCGGGGGCGGCGGCAGCGACAGCGGCGACGGCGGCTTGCCCGGTGAAGCCTGTGCAGCAGGGCACGAGCCAACAGAGCAGTGAACGGGCGGGTGAGGACCTGACTACTGAACAATCGGACCCTCGAGGGAACTTGCGAACCCCAACACTGTAGGGCTCCATTGTACCGGGGTGGTCATCAAGGGCACCCCGTTCGTCCCCCCGGGTGGTAGGGAGAATGGATGGACGGATGGATGAGTGGTTGGATGGGGAGTCATTGAAGGGGGGTCGCAACGCATCGGGGTCGGGAAGGGTACTACGTGTTCGCGGGTGGCAAGGTAAGCATCTCATGTTTGGCTGTAGCCTGACCAGCTTAAATCGGTTCGTATCCATGTATAGAACCGTTAGTGGGGACCACCGCGGTAGCACGGGGGGGTTGTACCCGTCTTTACGAGGAGCAGCACATGTTGAGTGCCGCAACCTAGGTTCCTAGGTGATGGAACTAAGGTAAATTTCCGCCTAGGTCTCCAAAACCGCCGCGCAGCATTGCGAGCTGCCGCGCGTGGGGGCTGGGGTTGGGTGGGTGGACGAGAGTGGTTCCGGCAGCCATTTCCGAATTCATGAACGTCCGTATCGTATTGGGTTACGTGGCGGGAAATCCCGCGCGCTGCAGGTAACGGCACCAGGCCCATCCACACTGCTTGCCCCGACATGACCCGGCCCGGCAGTGCCGAGGCCCACAACGGTAATGTCACGACCGAGTGTCCGGCTGGCGGTGTTCCAGCTCTTGCTGCCGGCGGCTCTGCTACTGCTACTGCTGCTGCTGCTGCTACACGACCAGCAGCGGCTGTAGGAGCAGCAGCAGCAGCTGCGACCGTGAACAAGCGCCTGCGGGTCGAGTGCAGCCATGATGATGGTATGGGAGCTCCCGAGTCGGGGATGGCCCGGGTATGGCACCCGGTGGACATTGCACGTCATATCTCACACAGACAGACACACAGACAGACACATACACAGGGCTCAGTTATGTTACAAACACAGATGCCACACAGGCGCATACCGGTACCGCCAGAGCCGCAAGGCCTCGCGTTGCTTCTGTCTTAGTTGACCTGGCCCCCTACAGGCAACCCCATCACCTCTTCGGCGTCTTGGGCAATAAGAATCCTTATCCGGGTTGGGTCTTCCTCCTTTTTTAACCCTTTCTCCCCTCCTTAACCCTCCCCTTTCCGGGCATCCGCAGCCGCCACCCCTGTTGCCAAGCGCCACCACCACCGCCATCACCACTACGACGACGGGCACAAGCAGTACGACATTCCCCCTGACAACAGGGGAGCAGCAGCACCGACGGTGACGGTGCCATTATCGTCACCGCCCTCCCCATCGCTGTCTCCGCGACCACCGCAGTCCCGTAGTCCCCACGGCACGCGGATGAGGGCTGGCGGGACAGCAGTACCTGTGGCCATGTTGAAAGCACCGCCGTCATCGCCGTCGCCATCATCACCACCCGCCCATCTCACCCACCATCCCCGGAGAGGACCGCGTTCTGCCGGTGCGGCAGCTGTGCAGCAAGTTGAGCCAAATGCTGCAACGGCAGCAGCAGCGATGGATGTGGCGACGAGGCCGGCGGCGCCTCACGGGCCGCTGGCGGTTCCGGCGGCGCGGTCGGCTTCGGAGCTGTCCTTTCGCCACCCGGGTATGGTAGTGGTACGGCTGCAGCCAGCGGATCCGACCGGCGGCGGCGGCGGCCCGCCAGGGACTAGAGCGCCGCTGCCAGCCCTGGAGAAGCCTTTCTTACTGTGCCCGTCTAAATGGACTGTGGGACACATCGCACAGGTTAGCTCCTTCTGGTTGAGGGGCTGTGAGTTGGGAGTTTCGGTGGGGTGTGGAGCTTCCGGACGTATAGTTCGTGGGGATCTGGGTCGTAGGGCGGGGAGGGGCGGGCGGGCAGGTGTAGGCGGGGAGGGGTGGGCAGGGAGGTTACTGGAGCACCGGACGGGGATGAGGTGGGGTATGTTGTGGAGCTGGCCGGTTGGGTCGTAGGGGTGCGGGGTACCAGTCGTGAGGTCAGGACTCCAGCTCCTGAGGGCGTGTCCCGTCTCCTGTGTCCCGCTTCATCTCCCTCCTGCTCCACCAACCCCGCTTATGTCGGCCTTACCCCCGCAACCTTTTTACCACCCGTTAACCTGCCGCGGCCGTGCAAAACGTTTGCTTTCCTTTATATCTCAATGTTATGTATAGCCCTTTTTATCTGTATGTGGTGAACTCGCACATCCCCTAAGCCCTGACCCTGACCTCCCGCTGCAGCTTCTTAGCCAGTGGATACAGCAGCCGGGGGACGTCGGTCCGTCCACCATGCCGGCTTTCCCCGCTGCCACTGCCGCAGCCACCGCCGCCACCGCACGCATCCCGTCCGCCGCCCTCCGGCTGGTCCCCGCCCCCGGGCAGCTGCGTGGGGCCCGCCGGCCTCTGCGCAGCTGCACCTCCCTGGGCGCACTGGCAGCGGAACTGCCGCAGATCTGGGAGGAGGGCGGCGGTGGGGGCAGTCGGAGAGGAGCTGCGAGCCGCGGAGCAGGAGGCGGCAACCCGCCGCTGGTGAGCTGGTTTGAAACAGATGGACAGCGGATGAAGGGGGAAAAACAGGGCAGTGCGAGGAGGGGAAAGTGTGTGTGAGAGCGGCCTTTCGGGAAGGGGTAAAACGGGAAGTTCTGCCCCGCCTCACCGTCTCCGCTACCCCACATCAGCCGGGTTAGGACCCACCTAAACCCAGCTCGCCGGGTGTTCGTTTGTCCCCCGCCGCTTAACCCCCTGGCATGGAAGATTGTATTGCGTAATATCGTTAAACAATACAAAAGCTCTGCAGCCCAGGAGGAGAGTACGCGGCTGCGGAGGGCGGTACCGGGGATAGCGGTGCTAGGGTAGCGCTTTCCTAGGGAGAGGTACGTAGGATGGGGGGAGACCGTGTCCACAGGACTTGGACTTGGACCGCCGATGGGATCCGAGCTGTCTTCACCCGACGTCCCCTCCTCGCCGCCGTCCCCTCCTCTCCTGCCCAGCTGGTTCGGTTTCCTCGACAGGCCTCTCCGCCTGTGTGTTTCCTTCCTTCTCGTCAGTAAAGGTCGACACATGATGAACAATTCACCGACTTTCCGATACACGATATCGCCGATGACATCAAGCGTCCTCCCGGCTCATCAGACTCACTTCTTTGGGGGACTCCGAAGCCGTTTATTTTGCTGCTTAAGATGGTGGAATTAGGAATGGTTGAGAAGTGTGCTTCGAAGTGTGTGTGCTTCAAAGGGAGCACCACCCTTCCCTGGACCTGCGCCATACCCTCATGCACGTAGCCGTGTATGAGGATGGATGTGTTTGCTGTGCAAGTGCATGGAGTTGATGGACTGTTGCGATGCTTCCGCTGCCTGTACAGGTATTTTTGTACTCATTGGAGCTATCATCAACATGATCGCTATCGTCATCGTCGTCAGCATCATCGTCATTTGGTCATCCTTGTGATAGCGCTGCAGCGCTAAGTTGTCGTTACAGCGCTACAGAAATCAGCTTTTGGGCTTTCACTTGGATCCCCAGGTGCACCTGGATCCGCCTTGCCGCGGGGTTGTGGTCCAAGATGTTCCAACACCTTCCGGGTTGGCTGTGTCGAGTCAGAAGTTGGGGACTCACAATACAGACGGAACAAAATGGAGAGGAGTTTGGAGGGCAGCACCAAACCACAAGCGAGTGACAGCTCAGCCGAGCAAGAGTCCCACTGCGATGCGGAAGAGACCCCAGGTTATGTTCGTTATCTGGTGGTTGCTGGTCTGCAAGATCACGGATGGCCATGAAGCTAAGGAGGCTAAGGAGGCCATCACCAACCTCTAGCTCTGCCGATGCTCAATGAGGGTTTCCCCCAAGGAGCGCCAGCGCTGCCCACCCAGTGCTGCCCACCCATCCGGGAATCGACCTGCCTTCCCAGGCATCGGTGTAGGCACAGTGTTGGTGATGTTTCTGAGGAATGATGGATTGAGTAAAGGATGATGCTGTGTGACTGCGTACCACTGGTTTTTCACTCCACAACCGCTTCTGCCGGTTATCGAGAACTGATGCAGCCCCTTACTAGGTGCAGTCAGCCCACCACCACCACCACCACCACCACTAAGGACCCACACGTGCGTAAATCGCAAGCATGTGGCCATCTATGTTTTTGCCAGTCTAGGAGAGCCGTCCCCTGCTGTCGTAGCTACCGTACCTTCGTAACGTGTGGAGGAGTTCTGTGCGCGGACTTCGGTGCACACCGAGGACCCAACTGTTCAGCAGTTGTGCAAACCAAAACAATACATTACAAATGATGCCCGGCACCTGAGGTCCATTGGCCTTTGGCAGTTGGAAAATACGCACAATCCGGAGGCACGAGACAACTATACCAGCCGCTGGTCGCTGGAAATCCAGTGCTGCATTTTCAGACTTCGTTCCGACACCCCCTCCTCCAATGAATGCCAAACACTGCACACGTCCTCATCACGTCATAGCACGTTCCCGCCTCCTCTGGAGAAGAGCCGAGACTGGACGCAGCCTGGAATAAGAACATCGCGTCTCTTTTATAAATCCGCGTCTTTTTTATAAATCCCTACCCACCCGATGAGGTAGACACCACCCCGCGCGCATGAGGTTGCGCACTAGCAGTTGCGCACACCTCCCGACTGTTCCAGGCTCCCAGCCAGACCCGCCCAGCACCTGTGTCCTCATGATCGTCACTCATTGGCTCCGTAACCTGCCTGGACTGCGTGCGAGCCAGGCAGCAATCGCGTGTCTGAACCCGACGAACCAGGAGACAGGGGCAAAGTACCAGAAGCAACAAATATTTCCGTTTATTCAGCAACCCGTCCTTATAACACGCAACGAGCCCACGTGAGTGAGTGCACCTCGGCACATTCCAGTGCAGCATTAGGGCTGTCGTCGTTGTGTAGCTTGAAGGGGCCGTAAAGGGGAGATAGGCCCAATGGCCGCTGCCAGTAATCGCATTCTATAACGACTGTACAAAAAAAGTACAGAAAGCAGCAACGGGAAGGAAGCCAGTGCAGCGGTTCCCAGTCTTCCGGAGTTCGCTGTGTTGCGGGGTGCTGATCAGGTAGATGGACAACAAGCACTAACCGTCCGCGTGCCAAAATGCGCAAAAAGCCGGTTTCCCCCCCCCAAAAAAACAGGCAGCATCGCGCACACGCGCGCACATCCATCACATTGCAGTGCATCGAAACTATCGAAAAAGCGTATTCATTCAGTGGTGATGTACGCCAGGATGATTATCAAGTTGCAACGGTGACAACTCTATTCGCGGCTTCCCGCCGCACAGCACCGCCGTCAGCCACAATTAAACCACTGCCGCGCCTTTATACCGGTCCTGCCGTAATGTGCATATGCGCACTGGCTCCGCGATATTCAGTAGCGAAAGGATTAAATTTCAAAGGCCTGGTTGGTGTGGGCGTGCGGTCCGGTCCTCCCCGCAATCCGCCTATCCCAGAGTGCTGTGGCACGTTCGATACCACCGCAGGTACTCCACCACGGCGTTAGTATTACCGTACTAGCTGTGTCCAGTGGCGCTGGGGGGACGAAGCCCCATGCACAGCCGTACACTCACGCATGCAGAGCGGGTACACATACCTTGAAGCTTTTGGCTATTCCTGCACCACTGCCTGCGATAACTCGTCCAAAATTCCCACAAGGAGTAGCACAAATCGCATCCCGTCTTCTTTCACGCAAAAAGTTGATTCACACATGGACATTCAGGCCGTGAGCGTGTCCCGTGGTGTCCCCTGTCCCGTGGTTCGGTCCCATCTTCCTTCTCCCCAGTGAACACCCCCCCTAAACTGGAAGTACTTGGCACTAGGCAAGGGCCCTTCCGCAAAGGTCCGCTCCCCCCTTGTGAGGCCTGCTGCGCGGACGTATTGCTGCCATACGGCGTCTGGCCTTGCAAACCTACTTACTCCCCACCATGCGGCTATGGGACGTGTCAAACGGCAATACGCCGCTTACACAAAGACAACAGCCACTTGTTCCATTTCTTCGTAGTGATATACGGAATCATATATTGTGCACACGCTCATTATGCCTCCTCTCCTTTATGCTTTTCTCTCCTACCGCGCAATCCTGCCCTATACCTGCCTAGGGCCAACTGTACGTGTCCGTCTGTCTGTCTGTCTGTCCGTCCGTCCGCCAAAAAAGACAGATTTAACTACGAATGCATGTGCATGCACAAACGTATATAATATATGCCTTGAATTACTCTATGCATGTGAAGCAATATCATGCAGGAGACCAGGAGCTCGCAGATTCCAATTGCACCACCGCTTGACCCATCTTCAACTGATGGCTCCACCGTATCACCATAAGATCGCCCGCATCCGCCGTACACCGTACGGTGCCTTTAAGACCGCTGCATCTCTTTATCTCTCTCTCTCTCTCTCTTCTAAGCCTCCGCTATTCCTTCCTTCCTGGCTGCTGCTGCTGCTGACGATGATGATCAGCACGTATCATCGCGTAGTACCATACTCGCGCCCTCCGCATCTTGCACACCGCATTTTCACTCGGCTTCTGATTTGAACTAGCTAGCTAAAAGTAGCTATCATCATCATCATCGGGTATGTTACCCTCCTAACATATCCACCCGCAGTGGTGTATTACATTCACTGCACCCGTTTCCCCATTCGCACCCGTAATCCGTAAACGTGAAGTTAACAGCCAAGCCCTCGACCGCGAGATCCCCCACCTCGCACGATGGAGGCGAACGCCAGCCAAGCCAGCTGCAACAAAGGGCCCACACCGGCCCCCGCGCCCTGTCCAGCGTCCTATCCGGCGCTGCAGCTTCCCACTTCCCGAGCAAGTTCCCGGAGCATCACTTTGTTGTATTCGTGCTGCACTGCACAGCTTCGGGCCTTCTTCCACTCCACCCGCCACACCTCGTCCTCTACACCTTCCCCCCTACCAGCACCCGTCGCCAATACATCACGAAGCGGCCTAGACACCGGGCGGCCGGCGCCGGGTCGTCGTCCGTCCCGACATCGCCGCCCGCGGCCGCAGCCGCCGCGGTGGAGGCGCCGCTATCGCCGCTGCCCTCCTGGGCCCCCCCCTCGTCCTCCACAATGGGGAAAAAGGCGCCTCGAGGGGACTTGCTGGTTGGGGGTGGGAGGTCGGCAGTGCCGCCAGCAGCCCGAGTCAGCAGTAGCTTGGTGGCGGCGCCTCCGTCCGCGTCCGCCAGCAGCCGCCGACTCAGCTCCTCAGCCGTCAGCACCCGACCCGGGCGAGAGCCAGGAGAGCGCTTCACCTCCGATGCGCGTATCGTACAGGAGATGAGTCGCAGCGCCTGAGGCTCCGGAACCACCTGAGCAGCCACCCGCTCCTGCTGTGGTTGCTGTTGCGGTTGTTGGGCTGTGGCTGTAGCTGGTCGCTCCAAGAAGGGGAAGAGGGGCTGGGCGGAGGGGACGGATTTGTCCGGAGAGGAGTCGGCACCGGTGCCACGGGTTTTGCTGCCGCCACTGCGGGCGCCGAAGGAGAAGCGCCCAGACGCTAGCGGCACCGGCACCGGTGGTGACGGCGGCGGCGGCGGCGGTGGCGGCCTGGCGGCCGCAGCCGCATGGTGATCGGCGGCGGTAGCGGCACCTCGCAACTCCGTCGGCACCGGCAGCGGCGAGCCGGAGGGGGCGGCTGCGGCTGACGGGCGCCCTGATCCGTCGGCTGTAGCAAGTAAATTTGTGTGACTGGCGGCGCCGGCAGCGGCTACAGCAGCCAACTTCCTTGCGGCCATGGCGGCTAGCAGACGCCGCCTGCTGCCGTCGCTATCGCTGCTGCCGCGGGGTTCCTGGCCGCTGTCGCTACACGATTTGAGGGTGGACATCAAGCTGGAGGGCAGTGGGGAGGAGGACGACAGCGCACCGGGTCTCGGCGGGGCGCCTCCACCACTGCCGCCGCCGCGTTGCCCGAGCGCGAGTTGCCTCTGGGCTAGGCTGTAGCTGCAATCAGGAATGGCGGTCGTAGACCGCCGCAGCCTGCCAAGGCCGGCCCCGCGGGCCCCGTCGTCACCGCTGCTACCACCAGTAGCCTGAGCAGCAGCAGCTGCGGCTGTAGCGTCAACCCGACTCAGTTGCGACGAGCTGACAGAGGCTCTCAAGTGGGTGGCCTCCCTGCCGCCGCCACCGCTGCCTCCGAGAGTGCAGTCCGTGAGAACCCCGGGGTGCTGCTGCCGTGGCCCCGCCGCCATCGCCGCCGCCGCCTCCAAGCCCCGAGTCCTGCCGCCGCCATGTAGACCGGGTGGCGCGAGACCATCGTGCACTGTACCCGTTATCTGCAGCACCCTACTTGCCATCGTGTGGAGGCCCGGCGGGGTGCAGGTCTGAGCAAGCGACTCAAAAGTTGCCTGGGCGGCGAGGACGGGGGCTTCATGGTTGCCCCCACCATCGCCGCCGCCAACCTCAACGTCGTCATAAGTGGGCTCGTCCGGCTCAGCGGGATTGTTGCTTCCGGGCCATTGCGCCGGCCCAGGCGGGCTGCTCATGCTCAAACTGAAGCTGAGACAGAGTTGGTCATCGCATAAGGAGGAAGAAGCCGACGGCTGAGTGGGGCAGCTGCCGTGCAGAGTGCCGCCGCAGCCGCTGTTGCCACTGGCGGCAGATGCGGCTGCTGCCGTGGCCGCGGCCGCGGCAGTAGCAGCTGCGCTGGGGTTTTCACAGCGGATAGAATTAGCGGCCACAAGTGTCATGCTAGGGCTGGAAGGAACCATACCGGAAGTCGCCGCAAGGCAGCAGCGGGAGGTGCTGCTGGGGCGCCCGAACAGCAGCTGCAAAGCGCTGGAGTTGTTCCGATGTGGGTCATCGGTGGCCACTGCCGCCGCGCCCGGCGAGCCCAGGACGGATTGCGGGTCGGGCTGTGAGGAGGAGGACAGGGGGGAGGATGCAAATGCGCTAGGGAGGGTGCATGAAGTTGCGGTGCTACTCCCCGCGTCGCCCAACGAGGAGGTGGTACTTGACCTACTACGCCTGCGAGGACGGGAAAGCGGTCAACGGATTTGGTTTCAACCTACCGTAGGCTGTAGTCAGGTAGACTAAATTGCGATTGTACCCGCTTAGGCACAATGCTGCAGGTGTGTATGAGAATGGAGCAGGGGCAGGCAATGGACCATGTGTGGAGCCGTGGTCTGGATGACTCCAACCCTATTTGCGCTTGCCTGGATTGGTTAGCTAGCTCACCAGGCGGATGGACAACCAGTTCGAATAACAAGGATGCTGCGCTCCTCGGAAGCGAACTTCAATGTAACCAGGTTGTCCAGGTCCTCGTTTCTGCAGGCATCCTCCATCAATATACCCAGTACAGTATATCCTATGGGCTGCTTCTTCGATTGCAAGCCGCTGAACAAATCTCCTCTTTATGGAAAGGCTTTGCTTCGAGCAAAGCTTCGTCTTGCAGGACCCGCACAAGATAACATCCACCGCACCGTCTAGGAAAGCCCGGGCATGGATATTGGAAGAGACGGATTAGAATAATACATTAGGCTTGATATAAAAACTTCTTTCGAGCACAGGATATGCACATAGACAGTCGATTTGTTGTCAGGGTTTACTACTGTAGATTAATACCTTCGCAGGAAACATCATTTTATCAGCAAGATCTTCAACAAGCGCACTGCAGCATCACTATGAGCGCCGAACATTCATCATCAAGGTGTACTGCTCATTAAGCAGCCCCTCGCAGAAATGTGAGCGGTCGTACTCTGCCGAATAAACGGTTCGTACATCGTCCAAAAAAGCCAGGAGCGAATTTTGCCGCGCGGATGCGCGCGTGCGATTCGCAAAATGCGCCTGTATAAGTGTATATGAATTTTCGTGGAGAAAGGACGAGGTGCGCCAGCGCGTTGCGCAGGTGGGCATGTTGGCCACAGCCGCACGCGGCATGCAGGCTGGACTATTGCGTGGCTGCATTGCAGTAACTGAAAGCACCGAAAGCCTACGTCGTAGCTTGCAAGACTGGGCTCGTGAAACTGCCGCGGGAAGAGGAAGCGTCTGACGAAGAGGCAGTTGTGTGCAAGCAAACGGTCGCGTTTTTGGTAGTGCAACGTATACAGCACCTTGTTCAGAGTAAAGTCAAATTACAAAGTTGCGCAAAGTATAACATACATAAACTTAATTAAGCATTAGCTCCTGCTACGAGTCTATTGCCATTGCCATTTCTGTTACAGATATTGGCTGTGCTCTTACGGCCTGATCGATGAAAAGGCCGCACGTGCTGAACAACAAAAACAAGATACAGAAAACCTGCAACACGCGCTATTTATGCAAAAGACGATCCTGAGGACACGGATCGCCGGCCTCAAGTCGTACCACTTAAAACGGCCGTAAGGCCCTACGCCTTAGCTAACCCGGCTCAAGCTTCGCATAGCCCGCATAAGAACAGATAAGACGTTTAGAGCCTTGTCGGTGACATGGACGCCGCTGTTGGCTTGGAACAGCTATTTGCTGTGCATAGGGACGTGCCCGCGTTAGCCGTGTTGCAACAGCTCAGGATGGATTTCAGCCAGCAACAGCCTCAAGAGCTGCTGCACAACCACCGGGAATGTCTTCAGTTGGGCACGTGTAGTTTTGGTCGGCGGGGTCGAGCATCGTACGCATTGCGCACAGAAACCAAGGTGCAGCGTCTCTGTAACATCGCCAACATATCCGGTACGCGGTGGCAGGCTTGCCGAGCACGAAATGAAGGGGGGTCGCATCTCACCATTCAACTAAGCATGCATGTGCTCGGTTGAATGCTCGGTAGCATGCGAGTTTACCTATCAGGATGTTTGTTTGCATATATCCCTCCAAGCGAGAGGGCTTGGACCTATGCTGATGTTCGTTACAAGAAGTGAACTGAAATCTGATGCTACACGTCATGTATACGCGTTGCTTAGCTTGCAACGAGACGCGCCCACGATGAAAGCTTCAGCTACGCTCACAATACATTATACTGCCACACTATTCTCTCCAGTTCTACCACATTATATTTCACCGACGTACTTAGGCACCTTCCACATCACCATGCGTGCTTTGGAAACGCGGGCAGCTGCTTCACAAGGGCCCCCATATTTCGCCATTCTCCTGAGTTTCATGAGTAGGTCGTACAGTAAGTCATCCCTTGCTCCTCGACATTCCACAGTACCAATATCATGAAAAACATGGCAGGACGACAAATGTGTCAAAATGGGGGCATTTCCATACATTCCTGGAATTTTTTGCAGGACTTCCAGGAATGTATGGAAATGCCCCCATTTTGAGCTAGCGAACCATGGCAAGAAGCCTCCTTACTACCTAACAGTTGTATTGTGACATTCTGTGTCCCGGTTGTAAATTAAAAAGATGCTTGCTACCTGAAATGATGCATGAGCTTATTGCACCCTCACTTCTGTTTTTTTCGCAACCTGCGCCCTGCAAGAGGATGTGGACTGAGATGTCGTGAAGGAAGCGCTGTACTTCTCCTCTTTTGCACTTCAAGCTCTAAAAATGTACATGCTTGTACAAAACGGCGCGAAATCTTGTCAAGGAGGAGCAGCTTGATGATGAGGGATCACAATCATACTAAGCTCTATGCACACCCGCTGGCCCGGCCTGGTGCTTAGAGCTAGAAGCCATAAACCGATTGAAAGAAATCAAAGTTATTCATCCTTCCATTTACTTGATGGCGCTCGATGTTTTCATTTCAATGTACATTTTAAAAGCTGCAAATTTTAATTTGCGCAGCATCCTACGTGTTTGCCGCTTCGCAGGTACCACGTGACATTTGTCATGCGTCCATGTGGCCATCGAGGTTGGCTCGTACCACATAACATAAATTACCAGAAATTACTGAGCTGATAAAACCGGCAACTGAAGCATGTAGAGTGATCACTTTCCTTTCACAAATTATAATAGCTAATATCAATATAAAATGGTATGGATTTAAATACCTTCTGAAACCTAACAAATCAACTTTACACGAAGCCATGACGAAATGCCAGCAGGGAATTATTCTCTCACTAAATGCATCCTTGTAACCTATATGAAATTTGTATGGTACGTACGCACCGACGCGCATGTATCGAGTCACCGTCCATACCTTGCTATCCAAGGCCGCTTCTTCCCTGCCTTATAGAATGGTAACGCTGGTGGCTTGAAAACCCCAACATTAGCGTGAAGTCAGCGACCTTCCCTTTGGCTACTCCGTAGCATCCAACACCGGGCATGTACTTGGCACGGGACACCCTGCAAATAAGCGTCTGCCATAGCCGTGTCGTGCTGAGTACGCAACGTCTGCAGCTGCTTTAGCGACTGTACGGCGCTAGCACCTGGGACTAAGCATAACTCTCGTAAGGAACAACTCACATTACAACCAGCTGCGAGGAAGCTGCCATGGCCTGCTCTGCCCCAGCACCGCACGGTACCCCAGCCAAGATGACTTGACAGCAGTGGGCCAGGATGTGCGTAGAGGGACTACACGCGGGCCCTCTTAACCTTCCAGAAGTAAAGAACCGGATCGCGAAGCGCCCGGCCGGCTGCTCGCACACAGAGCCGCAGCAAGAAGGACCTGGGTGCACGGAGCCGGGGGAGGAGGGGTTCCCGCCATAAGCCAATCAGGCTACCATGGGGCCGGGGGGGGCCCACCAGGTTGAACTTCCACACCACCTCCCAACAGTCGATGGGAACGCCCACCGCCACCACCACAATTACAGGGGAGCGGAAGGTGGTCGTCTGCTGCGAGTATGGATATGGATACGGAGGCGCTATCTGCGCCGCCGTTGACACACATCCGTTCGAAAGGAGGGGGCTGTGGGTGGGTGGGGAGAAGTTGAGAGTATGTGGAAGCATGCGGACCTAACTAAGCATAGCGATGGCGGGTTCTGAAAAGGAAAAATATTATACTTGCTGCGGGCTCCATCAGCTGCGCAGAATGGGAAGGGTTCATCCATATGAGTTGGGTTACATGGACATCTCAGTATGAACTGGGCAAATTGCAGATCAGCAGCGAAACCAAATGCGGTTCGCGGCTGTCGTGGCCCCGTGTACCGGCAGTCAGGAAAGAACGCAGGAACAGAAACCGAAACAGGAGCGGCTGCGTGTCATATAAGCTTGCTTGCAAGAGGTGGGAGCTACGATATTCCTGGACCTCCAAGGACCACAACAAAGTGGCAAAAGATGGCTTCCAAAAAGCTCCACGCCAAATGCCAAGTGCCAAAACCTTGACTAGTAATACACAGGAGAGGGCGCGCACTCGCGCGCATGTCTTCCTTCCGAGCCTACCCCCAGTGCTGCCATCGATACACAGCTCCGAAACCCAAAATCTGAGGCCCTGGGGACTCATCCACCCCACCCCCCCGCACACACACACACTGCGCCTGCCAGGGGATGCCACAGTCACCCTGCCTTCCCTACCCCCAACTCCACCCCTTACATAGCCCTTACCTAGCAGGCCCGATCACCGGCACGACCAACGCAATGCCATGAATGCCACACACACACACACGCTCTGGAAGCAACAGCTTTAGATACAAACGAATTCCCTTCAACGAAGCCCATCGAGAGCCTCATTTGCGACGATGGCCAAGTCCACCCTAAGCCAACCCAGCAGACCTAGACACCTCCTAGCCAGGGGCCCTGCAGAACTCAATCGCAACAGCCGTTAGAGAGCACTCCCGGTCTCCCGACCAGCTCAGCTGCCCGCTGCAGTCCCCGCCGCAGGACGGCACTGGTGGGGTCCGCGGCCGGGGGGAGCGGCGGGAAGCAGCTGGGGAGCATGGAGGGGTTGCAGCTGCGGCGGGGGTGCAGGGTCACAGCGGCCCTGCAGACAGACAGACAGACAGACAGACGACGTGAGACCGGAAGGTGGCGGTGACGACCACAACGACCGTAACAGCGGCGGCGGCGGCGGCGGCGACGGCGGCAGTGCAGGTCATGGCGGGTCAACCGGGAATCGTCAAAGGGCAGCACACCGGTGATGTTGGGGACAGCATTGAAGGGATGCAAGATCGTAAGATGTGACGGATGCGGACGGGGCCAGTGCCGCTCATTTGCACCTTGGCCGCAGCGCACCGGCTGGGTCGCGCCCTCGTAAGCATCCTCCCCTCCATAATGTGCCGTACCGTACGCACACGTATACGCACGTACCTGTAAAAGGCAAAGTGCAGCAGCAGCCGGCGCGTAAGGCAGTCCTCGAACACGGGCGCCCAGACAGCAAAAGCAGGGGGGGAAGTCGAGGAGGCCGCGGTGACGCTGCCGGGATAGGACGAAGCGGTAACCGCGGCGGAGGGGCTGGATCCAGTACGTGGCGACGCGGCCGCCAGCTGTTCCGCCATTTCGCGCCCCAGCTGCAAAAACGTGTCGTCCAGCAGCATCTGGCGCACAACCCAGCCGAGTCATTTCAGCGGAAGGGGACATTTGAGCGCGGGGGCCGCCCCGTAAGGCGAAGGTCGGTGGTCGTTGGTAGGACGGCAGACCGCTGTCAGTCAGAGAGAGTCGATTCGGGGAGCGGAACTCCACATGCCCCCCGGAGCTGCGCGCCCAACACCCCCCGCCAGGTCCCACCCCGCACCGCTCCGCCCTCCCACCCGCAGAGTCCTCCGCCCCCTCCTCTACACACACACACACACACCTGCAGCTGCTGTAGCACCTGGGGTTGCGGGTCCGCCTGCCCCACCAGCGCGCACAGGGCTTGTGCGGGACATGAGAGGGCCATGGCGGTGAGGGAGCCGTAGCGACCAGGGTCCACCGGGCTCGCGGGGCCGGCACCGGCACCGGCACCGGTAGCGGCGGTGGTGGTGGCGGTGGCGGTAGAGAGGGCGGTCCTAGGGTTTGCTGCTGGCTGCGTGAGGACTTGCCAGGGGGGGGCCGCGAGGCACAGCAGCGGGAATCCCCGCTCACTACCCTGCGAGGGAGGGGGGAGGGAGGGAGGGGGGAGGGAGGGACACATATGAAAGAATCAAGGAAACAACTTCTGGCGTCCAAGGCACCAAGGAGGGAGAGGGAGAGGGAAAGGGTATGGCTTGTTGAAAACTCTTAAGTGTCCCAAAGTGGTTTGGGGGCTGTTTGTGCCCATGGTTGCATGGATTCGGTAGGAGTGCTCGGCACCACATGTACGGCGCCTCTCCCCGTCCCTCTCCCCTCACCTCTGCCCGCTCTTAGCAGCGCTTCGACACCCCGCACCGCACCCAGCTGAATCCCCTCCAGCCAAGCCAACCCCCCTCCCACCTGCAGCTGTCCAAACTCCGGCCCCATATCCGAGTCCAGCACCAGCAGCAGCAGCCGCCGGGTGCCCGCCAGCAGCTCCCCGGGGGACAACAGACCGTCAGCGGCCGAGGCAATAGCCGCACCCGTAGCACTGCCGCCGCCCGCAGGGCTGTCGACACCTGCATGTGGCCGAGGAGGCTGCTTCAGGGGTGCGGGCCCTGGAGCCGGGCCGCCGGGGACCAGGGCCTCGCTCGGGGCCTCAGGCTGGTGGTGGGGCTGGGACTGGGGCTGGGGCGGCGCGAGCTGCTGGAACTGGTGGCTGTGGCGGGAGCGGTGTGCGGGGTGCGCAGGCGGACAGAGCAGTAGCTGTCGCAAGGGGAAGGTAGCGGCCCGCGCCACCGGCCCCATCGCCTCCGTGGCCACTTGCCCAGGGCCACCTGCAGCTTCCTCGGCTCCTGTACATCGCTGTACGGCATGTACAGCACTGACGGCATCGGCCTTGGCCCCGGCGGAGCTTTGCGTAAGCAGCGGAGCGGGCGCAGCGTCCGCCGAAATGTACAGCAGCACGAACTGGTCGCCGGCAGCGGCCTGCTCCAGCCCCGCCGTCACAGCCAGCAACGCGGACAGCAGATGCTGGGCGGTGGGGCGGTGCAGCAGCTGCCGGTGCGGGTTGCGGCCGGCGGGGGCCCCGGGCGCGGGGGCCGATGAACACCGGCTGCTGGGACCCGATAAGGGCTGTTGCTGCTGCTGCTGCTGGTGCTGACTAACTGAGGCAGCTTCAGCTGCTACAGCCTGCGAGGCTTCGTCAATCCCAGCGCCTCCATCCCCCGGGCCCTCCGCTGGCGGCTGTGGCGGCGACGGCGGCTGTGCGAAGCCGTCCTCAGCCGGCGGCACCAGCTGGGACGTGGGGGATGGCAGCCCGGGGGACACCACCGCCACGCCGGGGTTGTCACTGGAGGGGGGAAGCCCCTGCTGCTGCTGCTGGTGGTGGTGGTGGTGGTCGGGGTAGCCCCGGGCTCCCGCCACCTCCGTGACAAACCCCCCTCCTTGCCGAGGGGGATCCTCTCCCCGGTGCTGTTGCTCCTGCTCCTGCTGCCACTCCAGCGCCTGGGACATCCTGTAGAGCTCCAGGGGCAGCTCAGCCACCTTGACCTGGGGGGGGGAAGGAGGGGGGGCGGGAGCTGTTGGGGTGAAACCGTGTGATGATGTCAGATGCAAGCAGCAAGGAAACCGACGCAACCATACACGTCAAAAATACTCGAGTGCTGTAGAAGTTTCCAAAGCGATGAGGGGGTAATTGCCCGGTACCGGGGGGGTGGGGTTGGGGTTGGGGTCGAAGCCCGTGGTGGCGGTGGTGGTCGGGGGGGGAGAGAGAGCGGAGGCGCGAAAGACGGGAAGTGACGTGGCGTGAGGTGTAGAGATTAAAAGCGGAGATATGTGCCCCAAGGTGAGCTCCGAAACACCTCCACGGCAGCAGCGGGAGTGTGTGTGTGGGGGGGGGGGCTGAGGCGTGCTGAGGAGCAGCGGAACTACTAAAGACAAACAGGGGGGTGCTTCACCCGGAAAACTTCATGCCCATGAGGACTGCCGTAACAGCCGTACCTGCCGTGGACGGTACGACACCAGGATTGCCTCGGCCAGCCTCGGCCGATGCGGTGCACAGGTCGCCGCGGGGTCGTTGGACCTGAATGTGGGGAGAGGTGGGCGGGGAGGTGACTGTTGGGGGAGCTAGTGGCAAGAGGGCAGGAGCAGGAGGGGGCGTGTACACACGCGAGCGAGTCTGCGGGCGGGATGCATGACGGCTAGGACCACCCGGGAATGGCTCCCGGCCGGGGCCCGGCCACCAGAGCTCCACACGGCCCCCAGCTCGCCCTCCTCTTCACCCCGCACCTTGCATCTGCACCTGCACGTTATGACCCGTGAGTAGCCCCTCTCGCTCGCTCCCACACGCGACACACACACATAACGGGGGGTCGCATTCCCCCCTCCCTCCCCCCCCACCCACCCTTACACCTCACCTGCACCTCAAGGGAGGTGTGTACGACACCTCCAGGCTGCCCGGGCTCCTAGGCAGTGGCATTGCGAACTGGTCCGCAGCCATCAGCGAGGATACCTCGTTCACCACCAACTGGGTGTGTGTGTGTGGGGGGGGGTGTGCAGGGAGGGGGATATGGGGCCACTTTTGAGGATTATACCCACACGCCCATACACATACACGTACACGTACACAGCCACCTCTACCGGCAAGGAGAATAGCAAGGACGTCAACCAACCCAAGGTTTGAGGGGGTTGCAGGACCTGGCTGGCTCTTCCTTTGCGCCACATAGCATAGCCGCAGCTCGTCGGCGTGAGGAACGGAGTTGTGGAGCCCGGGTGGGTACCAAGAAGATGACACACACACATACACACACACCTCTTCCCATCCATCCTCCTCCTCCTCCCCACTCCCCTTTCCCGCAGCATCTATCTTCTCCTGGAGTACCCGTCTGGGTATCTGAGTATCCACTAGCCGGTGGTTCGTCTTAACCCCCCTCCCTTCCCTCCCCCTGGCCGCCTGACTCGGCCGTACACTCACCATAGTCCCCCTCCTCCCCGCTTACCACCCTCCTCCCCGCTTACCACCCTCCTCCCCGCTTACCACCCTCCTCCCAGCCATACACACACACACAGTGCCATACACAGCGGGTCTCCCCCCTTGCACTCGTCCGCCTGCCATCCCCACCTGCCACTCCTGGGCCTCCGGCGAGGAGTACTGCAATATGTACGAACTTACGGAAGCCTTTGCGGTACACGGTGAGGAAGTCAGAGGGAAAAAGACCACCACCACCACCGCCACCATCACCACCCGGTCAACGGTGCGTATGTAGCCGGGGAGGGGGGGGGGGAGGGGGTGCAGGGGGGGGGGAGAGGGGGAAAGAGGATATGCCGGGGGAGGTCAGGGAGAGGGACTCGGTCAAGCGCATTGCGAACCCGGTCACCAGACCCGGTAGGGCCCTCCCCGGGGGAGCCCCACCCAGCAAACCCCCAACGGGATGGAAAACACCACAGGGTCAGGCCCTGATTGGGCTCCGCCATCCTTACTTAAAGTTTAACCACAAACCTAGCCTGGTGGCCTAGCCTGGTTAGAAACATGATACACAAGCGCCACTAAACATTTCCTGTGGTCGTTCTGGCCGAACCATTCTTCCCCCCCGTGGCTGGGCGGTTTGAGAGGGTGTGTGTGTATGTGTGTGTGTGTTGCAGGACAGACAACCCTCCCCCGGGTGTCTCACCTAATGCGTGGGCTTCCGTACCAAGTCATTACCCACCACCACCACCACCATCAGCAGCAGCACCACCACCAGCTCCCTCTTACACACACACTCTCACGGGACGTAGCGCCCCTCCTCTCCCCCTCCCCCTCCCCCTGCCACACCTGCAGCTCCTGCAGCAGCTGCATGGCCTCCTGCGGGGCGGTGTGGTGGTGTCAGGCGTAGGGGTTGTCGTTGTGGGCATGCAGGGGTGGGGTGGGGTGGGTGGGGTGGGGCTATAACAGGGGGCCGAGATCCGGATCCTGGCAGTCAGCACCACCCAGTCAGCACTATCCAGCGGCCCCCACGACAAGCCGCCACGAAAACCCTTTCCCCGGCACACGGTGTGCCGTACCTCCCGGCGGTTAAGGAAGAGGCACACTACCACGAACCGCGCATAGAAGCGCATCTGCCGGGCCGCCGCTGCGGGGTCGGGGGCGGCCCCCGCGGCGGTGGTGAAGTACTGGCGGGTGTGTACGGCATCGTAGAAAGTGTAGCTCTCCAGCAGCGCTCCCGTGTCGCCGGATCGCAGATAGTAGTTGTAGTACAGCTGGCCAATTTTATTGGCGATGGCGCCCAGGTCTGAGCGCTGAAGGCCCGTCTCGAGTAGGGCAGCTCTGGCGGGCAGAGTTGGAAGAAAAGGGCGGGCAGGGGAGAGAAAGCATGAAAAAGTCGGGACAGGGGAGTGATAAAGATGATGCAGCACAGGGCATCATGATGCAGCTTACTCGTTGTGGCTTCCGTGTTGTGTAGGGATGGTACAGGATAGGGGAGGTGAAGCGGCGCCTAAGTTTCGTGGTGATCTTTGGCGACAACGAGTTGCAAGTAAAGGGATTTCCTTTCATGTATGATGCAATGAAGTTGCTATGTGTACCGGACCTCACGTCCGTGCCCACGCATAGCCATAGCTGACATGTGAAACACCAGCGGAAGCTTTGGGACCCTCAGCTACCACACATGCGAAATTACGACAAGCCGCAAGATAAGAAAAACAGTGAGTCGACGACCTCTCCCAAAGCTATTGAGCCCTACTGAGTCGCGGCGTCCACGCTCGTCCAGCTGGCTCATAAACCCTTTTCATAAAGCATGTCGCTCAGTGACATCTTACAGCCGTGCTTACCTGTTGCCAAGCTGAAATTGCCACAGGCGTGAAAATGAGTCGAACGCCTTGTGAAACAACGATTGTGCGGCGGGCCACGAATAGTCCCCACGTGTTTGCAGTTCCCGGAGTTTCACGAAGCGTTTATTCGCTCTTTCAAGAAGTACTTGAAATTGCTGCCTTGCGATCTGAGAATGCCTGTCCATTTCTCCGGCGGCGACAGGTAGACGCTCAACTCGAATTTTGGGCTCAATACATCTTAAAATAACTCGTAGATCGTCATGGAAAGCATAGAATACGATTTATATGTATTATACTACCACGATGTCCTTCCATTGAGGGAAGGCAACTGTCGGCCTCCGCCGTGCAGTCGAGAAGACCTCCGGTTCGCAAGTTGGCAAGGAACCGGCAATCTTCTGAGTTATGTTCCTAATGCAGTCATTGCTCGTATCGACTTGAGCAGCCTCACATTTGGGTTTCTTGTCAATTAGGCTTTTCTGTGGCTCACTAAGGCATAGTAGGCAGGCCTTGCCCGAGCGTGGATGGGCGCCTTACTTCGCTTCGGAATTTGATTTTCTCCGCGAAATTGTGCACTTAGCAGGCTTATAAAGCTGGAGCGGGTCTTTGAGGTCGGAGGACGATGGCTGCCAATACCTCATCCTGCTGGGCCAAGCCGAGCGGCTGACACCTGGTATGCCATAATGAGTATGTGATTAAGTACCGAATCCAATGAATATTCACCTCTCAATTTCTTTGGTCCGCTTAGGCCTGTGGTCGAGCGACGAACACGCCCTTATGGATTGGGTACTTGCAGGGGCCACGGCCGCAAGGTATGTACATTTAACAATCCGCAACTGCAATGATCTTTCTCTCTTGCCGGAGTACCCGAATTTGTAGTTTCCCGGAACACGCCGCAATTGCGCACGGGCGCCTTTGACCGCCACCTTCTTGGCTGGAATTTGAGACGTTCTACTTTTTGCCATTTTACGTCAGGCGCGACGAGGGAAGCTCACGGTTGCCGGTCATGCTAACTCGCCTGGCACGTCAACCGGACCCCTTCACCTTGCTGGAACCCAGCAGCGCATATCTGGCTGTAACCAGAGCTTATATTTGCGGGCCATGCTGCCCACGGAGCTTTGTGGCGGGATAGCCGGCGGACCACATGGCTCTTGCAGGCGGCCCCAGGGCCTCGCGGCAATGCTGAACCTCAGCCAAGCCGGTGCCAGCGGCCGGACAGCAGCTCTTCAGGCGGCCGCCACCTCCGAGCCGCTTGCGCCGCAGGCAGAGTCAGAGCCGATTTTCCTCCCTTCACAGCCAGACCGCAGTTCCGGCACCCGGCAGCGGCTGGTGCAGCTCGCGCAGCCGCCCCCGCGACGCACACAAGTAAGCTCTCGGTACTGAAGATCGGTTGGGCTGATGCCCCCGTTGACACGGATAATCGGGTATTACCTGTACGGCAGAGGGAGGTGGTAAGAGGTGTTCTTGGGCACCACCCCTCCCCCCTTACACTCCCCCACACATACACACAGCGGGGCCGTCAGGATGCCGTCGCCGACAGCAACTCACGCCTATTCTTCATGGGACGAAGACGGTGGTTTGGTCGGGGACTTAGCTGATGGGATGTGGAAGGCAGCATAACGTTCATGGAGGGGGGAGGACGTGGGATCGTCCATGGAAGGAGGGGGGAGCGGGACGGATGGATGGCTCCTCCTCCTCCTCTTCCTTCTCCACCTCCGGGGGTGCAACCGCGGTTGCGGGGTACCGTGCCGCGCCTTTGTTCCGGTCGTCGCGGCGGCGATGGCGGCGGTGTAGTGCGGTTCAAAAGGAAGCACACCTCGTCGCTGCTGTGTCTCAATCGCCGCGGCTGTCTCCTCTCTCCCTGTCTAGGCGGCCAGCTCAAGTGGCGGAGGTCCCCCGCGGGCCGGGTCCCCCCCTCCAACACCACGTCGGCATCCACATGCAACACCTCGGGGGTCACGGAGACGCCTCTGGAGGGCGATCGGGTCCACCCCAGCACTGCCGGCACTCGACAGAAGCAGCGGCGGCGGCCTCCGACCCAGATCGCCTCCGGGCCCTACAATTTGGTTGGGTGCCACGACCCACGGGTCGCGCTCCGCAGCTGGTGCTGGTGCTCCTACTGCAGTCTCCCGGGTGACGCGGCATGGAGGAAGTAGCAATGCTGCCGGCAATAGCGTCAGGTGCCCTGGCGGCGAAGTGGTGGTGTCCCTGGGGCCGCTGGGGCCGCTGCTGCTGCCGCCGTACCCTGGCGGCAACACGTCCCCCAGGATGCGCCGGCGGGAGCAAACTGGCGGACCCGACCTCGACACGGTTCGGGTTCACGACTTCCCGGAGGGAGGACAGCAGCACATGCATCATCGTCATCATCACCATCAGGAGGTGGAGGAGGCGGCAGCGCAGCGGCACGGGTTACGGCCACCCCGGGACCCGGGGGGTATGGCATCCACCACCACACGGGTCTTCCCCCCGGTGGGGATTTCGCCGGAGGAGGGCTCACCCGCAACAGCCGTCACATCAGCTGGCGGGGGGACTTCCTCCCTGGGATTGCCAGTGCCTTGGGCCACCGGCGATGGACCTAGTTTAGGAATGCAGGCGGGAGCGGGAGCGGGGTCCGGCTACTCGGGGGGCCCCGGTGAGCAGCGACATGAGTATTCCTCACCCTTCCCCGGGGGCCCCGGAGGGCACCTGCGCGCGCGTGTCGGCAGTAGCAGTAGCAGTGGAGGTGGTAACCTGTACGGGCTCATTAGTCGCTGTAGCAGCTGGCGGGAGCTGCAGCAGCTACAGCTGACCCACAGCGGCCACCTGCTGCCTCAGCACATCCCCGCACTCATGGCCGCAGTAGCCAGGCTTCAGCAGCACCATCGCCGCGGATCCTCACCACGACAACAACAGTACTCGCATCACCACAACCACCACCACCACCGGCAGCAGCAGCAGCAGCAGCAGCACACCGCCGAGGAGCAGCGGCAGGTGTTGCGGTACATGTGGGAGCTGGCGGGCAGCGCTCTGAGGTTGGCCAGGTCCCGAGAGCTGCCCCCGAGGAGTCTGGCCACGGCGCTGTGGGCGGTGGCCAAGATGCCACCGCCGCCGCCGGGGGAGTTGGAATTGGAGGCAAGCCCACCTCCTGTGAGTACGGGCGCGGCAGTGACGGCAATCACCGCCAGGTCCGCAACAAACACCGCAGCAGGCCCCCGCCACATGCACCAAGAGCTCTCTAAGAGCCGGGGGGAGGGTGATCCGCCGCTGCCATCGCCGCTGCTGCAACCCCCCCCGCCGCCGCCTCGTCGTGAGGAGTGGCAGCTGTGGGCCAGAGAGATGGTCCGTAGCTGTTGCTGCGACGATAACAACAGCAGAGGTGCTGGTTCGGCTCGTAGCGGTCGTGGAGGTGGCGGCGGTAGAAGCAGTTTTCCTGCAGCATCTTGGTCTTCTTCTTCCGCCTCCGCGCTGCTGGGCCCGGTTGCGGGTTTCTCCCCTCAGGATGTGAGCCAGACGCTGTGGGCGGTGGCCACCCTGGAGTGCACCCCCCTGCCCCGGGGCTTCCTGCCGGGGCTGCTGGAGGCGGCCAAACCCGCACTGCACAGCTTCGGACCGCAGGTGTGTGCGTTTGTATGTGTATATGTATGTGTGGGGAGTTATGTGCGTGCGTTGAGTATAAGACTTTTCGGGATCTGAGGGGCCGCAGCTGAAACGGAACAGGACGCATGTGTGTGTGAGGCGGTGAGGGGAAACACCGGTTGATCTGCTTCATGGGGCTTTGCTGCCGACCTCCCCCTTCCCGACGTCATACCTCTTCGTTTCACTGCGCACGACCCGAACCACCGGCAGTGGCACCAGTAGCAGTGGCACCAGTAGCAGTGGCACCAGTAGCAGTGGCACCAGTAGCAGTGGCACCAGTAGCAGTGGCACCAGTAGCAGTGGCAGCGCCGCGCCTCGACCTGTGTGCCTGCCGCCTCGCCCTCCTCGCCTGTTCCAGTCCAAGTCAAATACCCACTACACAGTCTATATGACATTCCCCAGACCTTCTTTTCCCCCCACTCGCACCTCCGCTACCCCGCCCCCTTCAGGCCTTCTCCAACACGCTGTGGGCCCTCTCTCGCCTCCGCTGCCAACCCCCCCCGGGCTGGCTGGATGCCGCCTGTGCAGCCGCCGCCCCCCAGCTCCCCACCTTCAACCCCCAGGCCCTCGCCACCACCGCCGCGGCACTCGCGCACCTGGAGCACTCCCCGCCACCCGACTGGTGGGAGATCTTCTTCGTCGCGTGTGCCCGCAGCATGTGGCTCCCGTACCCACACCACCAATCACCACCACCACCACTACCGCCGTCATCACCATCGCCGTCGTCGCCAACACCACCTGCTTTGGAACCCGCAGTAGCAACAGCAGCAGCAGCAATAGCGGCAGAGAGTGGCGGTGATTGCGCCACAGGCGGCGGCCGTACAGCCGCTGCAGTCGCCCCGCAGTCTCTGGCGCAGACCGTCTGGGCGGTGGCGAGGCTGCGGCTGACACCCCCCCCGGGTTGGCTGGAAGGGCTGGCGGCGGCGGCGGCGGTGGCGGCGCCCCGCATGAACGGCCAGGATGTGGCCAATGTGCTGTGGGCGCTGGGGGCCCTCAGGTTCCGCTACAACCACCACCGCCAGAACAACGACGAACAACAACAACAACAACAACAACAACAACAACAACAACACTACCCAGCATTGCGCTCGTCGTCGTCGGCGGCGGCGGTGGCGTCTTCGCCGCCATCCCCGACTTCGGCGGCGGCTTCTCGGCCCACAGCGGCACCTTCGGGTCCTCCCGGTCTGGCTCCTCTGCTGGCGGCCTGGCGGCGGTGCCTGGACTCCATGCAGCCGCAACAGCTGTCCGCGTGTCTGGTGGCAAGTGTGCATCTGGGGCTCAGCCTGGATCCAAGTCGGAATCCAAATCGCGATCAAGCTGCTGCTCCACCTGCGGCTGCGGCGGCGGTGCCGGACGATTTGGTGGCTCGTACACTGGTAGTTGTGGGTTGTCGGTTGGCCAGTTGCTCGGCCCAGGTGGTGTCCAACTCCCTGTGGGCGGCTGCACGACTGGGCTGCCGGCCCTCCAGCAGCTGGGTGGGGGCGGCGGTGGAGAGGTTCTTGGTCTGTCTGGAGGACGATGATGCCGGGCCGCAGGTGGGGAGTGGGGGTGGGGGGCTTGAGGGGGTGCGTGTACGGGTGTCTAGCCTCTTAACTGTGCTGGTTCGGACTGGGTGGTGGTGGAGAGGTGGCTGGGGGTTGGTTCCACGGCCGCCGAGGGTTTGTAAGGGCTCCAGTGGTCCAGGGGCCCGACGACAGCCATATGGGTTTGAGAAGAGGAAGTCCCTCAGGCTCCCCACCGGGGTGGGGGAGTGGTCCGCTGCCGCACTGCGTTTTGGGGCCGTAGGAGGTGATGTCGTCCCCTCCCCTGCCATCTTTCCTTTTTTACCGTCCCCGCCACATACATACATACATACATACATACATACATACATACATACATACATACATACATACATGCGTGCAGGAGGTGGCCAACGTGTGGTGGGCCCTGGGTCGGCTGCGGTGGGCCCCCCCCGCCGACACGGCCTCCGAGCTGCTCAGTCGTACTCTGGACCTGGCGGCAGGCGGGGACCTGCGCAGCGGGGAGCTGGCGGCGGTGATGTGGTCGCTGGGGCGGCTGGGACTGAGACTGCCCAAGGTGGGAGGCGTTGGGGGGGGGGGGCCGACTTGCCCGGGGGGGGGGGAGGAAAGGCGTTGGTGCCTTGACGGGAGGAGGCCTGGAAGGGCTTCAGCGCGTCCCTCCTCCTCTTCGGGGACTTAGCCCCGTTGCGCGAGGGATCCACCCGGGTGGTGCTGGTGCCGGGGGATGAACCCCCGATTGCGCCCTGTTAGGGCCCTCCTCACTTCCCCCGCCCACACCCCACCCGAACCCCTTGGGGGGCCCCACTGATCAGCCTCGCAATCCCCAGCAGTATCGTATACGTGCGCGTATTGCTCTCCCAACCAGCGCCTCCGCCGCCCTTGCGGATCCCCACCGGCTTGCCAATCATGTTCTCCCCCTTCCCTCCGCCCCCCGGGCCCCTCCTGGCTGGTGTAGCCGCTCATGGACCGACTGGTCTGCATCCTGCGAGCCTCCCTCCACGAGGAAGCCCAACAGCAGCAGCAGGCAGGTGAGGGGCAGCCCCCGCCGGTACCCCAGCCGCCACGTCACCTGACCCCCGCCCCGCCGGCGACGCTGGTGACGCTGCTTCGTGCCCTGGCGGCCCGTCAAGCCACCTCGCAACGGAGCACCGCAATGGCCCTCCTGGAGCGATCACTGCGACACATGGCGACGACAATCCGTGCCAGCGGCTTCGGGGACGGCGGTGACGGCGGCGGCGCCGCAGCTGCACGGCAGGTGGCATTGGCGCTTCACTCCGCCGCCAGTCTGGGTGTGCCGCTGTCGGCAGGCTCCACGGCGGCGGCTGAGGGGAGGGGGGAGGGGGAAGCCCGGCCCGGGGGGGGCTCAAGTCGCGGCCTGGCGGGTGCAATAATAGCGGCGCTACGTGCTGTACTGCCGTACGCGAACACTCGCGACTTGGCGATGGCGTTGTCAGCGGCGGCGGCGATGGAAGCCGTGGTGCCGCTGGGGCTGCTGGCGGCGGCGCTGCAGCGCGCGGGGGAGCTGTATGCCCGTGACAGCGCCACGGCAGCGGCGGTGTCGGGGTCAGCGGTCGACGACGGGAAGGATTCCACCCCTGTCTTGACCATACACGGAAATGATGTCGATGGGGGGCGTGCAGTGGCAGTGGTCCCCGAGGGTGCGGATGGAGCTGGGGAGGGCGGCGAGGGTGAGGTGGAGAGTGGGGCTGACAGGGTGCTTGGCTGGGTTAGGGGACGGCCCGACGGGAGCGAGGGGGTGATGGGTGTACGAGGAGGCGGAGGAGATGTCCGGGAAGTTGTAGACGGGGCGGGTGGGGATTTGGCGACGCTGTTGTGCAGTTTGGGTCGGCTTCTAGAGCTGCATGCGCGACGTCGGGCGGAGATGACGGCTCAGCAGCAACAGCAACTGCAGGATGCGGGGCGGCGGGGATGGCGGAGGGGGCGGCAGCAGCAGGAGCTGCAGCTGCAACGGCAGCAGTGGAAGTCAGGGCCAAAGCATTCCGGCAGAAGGTTAGAACGTGGTGGTGGTGGTGGTAAAGGCCGCAGTGGCAGCGGGGACGATAGCGCAGGTGACAAGAGCACAGGCAGCAGCAGCAACCACCACCACCACCGTCGTGTTGACATGGACGTGTATAGGGACGCTGCGGGTGATGTGGCCGTCAAGGCAGCGGCGGCGGCGGCGATGCAGGAGGCCCGGGCGCGGTGGGACGAGTTGCTTCGGAAGCGGCCGCGTCTGGTGGCGGCACGGACTGCCTTGCTACAATTCGTCCGGGTGGGTCTGGAGCGCTCTTCCTCTTCCGCCATCGTCGACGCCGACGGCGGCTCGTCGTCCTCTTCGCCACCGCCGCCGACGCCATGTCTCTCCGCCGCTACCTCACTACAGCAGCTGGTCCTGGGGCTGTCCAAAGCCCGTCTGGCCCCGCCGCCCCGGCTGCTGCGCATGTTAGCTCGGGCGCTTGTGGGTGCGGTTGGCGACCTGCCCGCCAGTTACCTGGCGGCCTGCTTGAGCCACCTGGCGGCCATGGGGGCGGAGCTGGACCCGCAGGACGCGATGGCGCTGGTCGGCCGGCTGCGGGCAGTGCACGTGGCAACAGCTGCTAGGCGGTCGGCCGGCGGGCGAAGCCGGAGCCGCGGCTGGATGGTGGCGGCGTGCGGCGGTGTGAGCTGTATGGTGGCGCTGTGGGTGCTGCGTCGGAAGGCGAAGAGGAAGACGCGAGTGTCACGAGGGGGAGCGGCGCGGGCACTGAGGACAGCCAGTCCGCGCAACAGAACGGGGAGGTCGAGGCTGCGGGCGGCGGCGGCGGCAGCGGACCCAGAGGTCATGCAACGAGTGGAGAGGGCGCTGACGCGACTGCGGGAAGCCGGGGAGTGCCGTCGTCTGGCATGACGTCGGTGAGGGGGATGCTGCCGCGCTGCCACGTACTACTGCCTTCCCACCATATCAGCCGACGGTAATATCAACCGACGCTTCGCAGGAAGGTTACTGGGGGGGCCTGTCTTGCTTGGCGCTGCCGATGAAGACGGTTGGGTAATGTGAGGTTTTGTAACTGTATTGTCATCCCACCTGTTCCCCACTACTAGAGTCGGCGTTTTCATGAAAGGTATTGGAAGGTTGGCTTTTCGTAGGCAGTTATGTTGAGGAGGGATTAGGGTATTAGAAGGGAGTGGCTTGGAATCACTGGAAACTTTAGGTGGACATGTCAGAATTAGGATCAGGATCAGGGGCAGGAAGGTCACCCGCCCAGTTTGACAGCTTAGGGTAGATGGGCACTGGAGAGCTCCCGGGGGCCGCCGGAACGGGTTTGTGTTGGATGCGTCGGTACCCCAGTCGGGGCAACCACGACTCCTTTTTTCTCTTGTGTGTTTTTATTCGTGTGTTTGTGTTCATGGTAATTTTGAATTTTCTTCTGAGTTGCGAGTTTGGTTGGCAGGCGGATGCAACGATACAGGAGGGTTCGTAAAGCTAACCAGCCGAACAACCGACTATGGTGGTAACTGCACAGCGGATTACGTTATCTGGGAAGGCCATGTTGTAACGTAAGCGATGCAGAATGTGGCAATGTATCGCTACAGCCATACAATGCCTCTGTCGCCTCCAACTATACCCATTGCTTGTCGCACACCGCCTTCCACAGCTACAAGAACCCAGCCCACCAAGATATGCAACGGCACACAGGCGATGGGACAGGGGCACTAAATTCCAGTTGCCTAGCTGTTTGCCGGTTTGGGAAATGGGACTTGAGGGTTCCCCTGAAAGGCAGTCTGACCCAGGCCGCTATCCTACCTACTACTACCACTACTAACACACGCAGTTGTATGACATGGTACCATGACCGGTACACCTCAGCACCCGGACCTCGGCCTCGGACCGTGTTTCACCACTCAGTCGGTGGCATTGAGGGACCCCGTGATCCAGGTGTGCTTTTGTTACACTGCAGCCTTGCAGGGGTAAAGCAGCCGCGTAGCTGTAACGCTGAACAAGCCCCTGCCCAGGCGCCAAAGCCATTGGTTGCTGGCTTCCAATCTACGCCATCGGAGCCCAGCCCGCCTCAGTCGCACGACCCGTCCGGGGGCCCGTCCCGCCAGCGCTCCATTAGAAGATTGCAGTCGAACAGCGGCTTCCCAAGCATCTCGTTAACCTGAATATCGCCAATATGGAAATAGACGGGTGGATGGGAGTTACCCCGACCGACCGTCTACGGAGGCAGTGCTTGAACCGATACGAGGCAAATAAATCGCTTTCTTTCCGGGGTCGGGACCATGCCAGAAAGGGCGCCGCGTAATCTTATCTAGCAAACTATCTAATCCCCGCCGCCGCGCCATAAGGCAGGCCTGCCCACATTCGCGATGTCGCGTGCAACGGGACTGTGCGGACCCACACCTAGACAGGGGCTCCCCCTCCTGGCGGCAGCGGTTCCAGTTCCTCGAGGGCCGGAGGCAGCTCCCAACCTCCCTGGTAGCTTCCTTACCTCGTTGTGAATGCCGCACAGCCACATGTTGAGGTCCTTCGCGGAGGCCACCCGGGGGGGCCTGCGGCGAACCTGCTCCCTGAGGGTTCGTGTGTATGTGTGTGGCGGGGGGAATGGGGGTACGAAGGGTAGGGACTGCGTTAAGAGGCGGATACGCCATCATGACATTACCGCCGCGGAGCAGCGAGGGCCGGGGTACTCCCCGTTCCCCCATCCGGCAATGCGGCAGCTTCGTTTAACTCCTGTCATCTGTCTTCTCACACCCGGAGCCACCTCGCCCGCATTAGCTGCTCCGTTCACCTGCCTCTAACCTCACTCACCAGATTGCTACCACTGGCTCACAACCCACACGCCCAGGTGTCGAGACTTCCCGGCTTCAAGCCACATGGAGTCCCACCGTGCTTTTGTCCCTGTCCTGCCCGACCTGAGGTGCTCCGCGCAGACCTCGCAGGGGTAGAACTCCGCCAGCCCCTCCATCATGTAGCGCATCAGCTCCTGCTGCCGCGGGGAGGGCTGCTCAGGGTAGGCTGCAGCCATGCTGTGAAGGAAGGTCCACGTGGCGCGACCCAACTGCCACGTGTCTGGAGGACAGCCACCGGCCGCGTCAGCGCCACCTGCTGCTGCTGCTGCTGCTGCCAGCGCCTCATCCTGCCGGTCTGTAGCGGCAGCGGTCTGCGCGGCGAACGCAGCCAGCCCGGCGGAGCCGGGGTCCCTGGCTGGCCCCTCCAACGCCACTTCACCCCGGGGCCGTAGGGCTCGCTTGAAGGAGTCCACCACTCCAGCGCAAGCTCGGGAGCGGCAGTCCTTCAGGCTGATGCGCGCGGGCGGCTGATCCGATGCGGCAGCTGGGGCTGACGCTGGCGAATTACCTGAGGGCTCGTTGGTGGTACGCATATGTACATCTGGGCCCCCTATGCTTTGGTGATTGGGCAGGGGGAGTTCAGCCCTTGGTAAGGAGGCGGTGGTTGAGGCCTCCGGGCCAACTGAGAGCGCCAGATATGGCGCCAGGGAGGTGCCCGATGGGGTATGTGAACTCGCAGATCGGCCTTCTAGCCGCTGCCGGGCCGCAACGCCGGATGATGGCGCCGGCGCTTCGGCACTTGCCAACCTCGACGACAATGATGGGTGTTGCTGTGAACTGAGTGCACTCCCGTGATAAGGCAGCTGATATAGTTGGACATAAGCAGGCACATTGGATTGCCGCGATGCTATTGTAGCCACCTGCGGCGCTGGGCTCGACGAGGGACAATTGTCGCCCTCCGAAGTTGGATGCGAACTACTGGGTTGGGTTAAAACGTATCGGTCATGAAATATGTAGTCAAGGATGTGCATCGGTATTGCGCGATTGTGTTTGTGGCAAAGCGTTTAGGAACCGTCGCGACTTACAATGGAGCAATTCTTTGAAAGAAATACATTTCCCAGGATTGCCATATAGATACAGGATCAAGGAATAACTTCAAGACAGTAAAAATGTTAACACTAGGTTGGAGCTCTAGAAGCAGCTCTCGCATCGTGCACACCGTACGCTCAGCAGGCAGCTCGCATGCCATGGTTTCCAATCCACGCACATGCACGTTTATGCGCAGCCTTCTAGTTTGCGTGCCGGTGGCAGCGTTCACGCCATTACATACAGTCAATGCTATCGAGCCACATGGGTATGCAACGCATCCGTCTGCCCAGGGACCTCACGTGGCCAAGAGACAGGTCCAGCCTTGGACCCGAGTTTGTAACAGCCTAACCCTCGGGGAGGATCTTATCTGTAAGTATCCTGATTTACTGGGTCATTTAAGTGCTACTGAGGGGGCCCATCCTTGCAGGATGCGCCATGATTTTGTCGAAACGCGTCAAGAGATAACGTTACTCGCCAAATGTACCAGTTGGCATACGTGCTGCTGTGTGCTTTGTACAGCCTGGATCGTTTGTGGCCATAACGCGTTTCCCGGATTGGATCCTGGCGAAGCAACCATTTTTAACCGCAACATGCGCACACCATCAGTTAAACAAGTTTTACAGTCCTCAGTTTACCTGTCCACCCAGCACAATTCTACGATGATAGCTTCGCGGCCATCAGGCTGCAATCTTAGGTATGCATGCATATTCACCGAGCAGACCCAAAGCTGCCGGCTGCGTGAGCAAAACGATCAGGTCCAATGGCCGCCAGCGGTAGCCCCCGCGCCCGCCGGCCACCAGCAGGCACCCAATCCGCCAACACGCATCCCCTCCGGACGGCTCTAGGCGCTCCTCGGCCTCGGAAAATCGCATTTCATAAGACAACCAGTCCTTTCCATCTTCGCAACGTTCATCATGTACAAGCCACCGCCGGAGCAGCTCACAGCGCAGGCACACCGCCACATTCATTGTGGAACGCAAAGGATAGGCACTGCTGAAAGGGCGTAGAGGCTGATATTGCCTCGAACCACCATACATACAAAAAAAACATCGGCAGCTGCAACACCCTTAAATTCCTTACAATAACATAACCTCGTTCGTTTGCTCCGTCTGCAGCCACCCGACACACTCGTCAACTATGCAATTTGTTATCTGCTCTAAGCACTTCAGCACTTCACGCACGTATTGCTACAGCCTCCTTCCCATGCGCCGCCGCTGCCGCCTCCTCCTCAGCCCGGTTGGTGCCCAAGCAGCTCCGCGAGACCGAGGTGAACAGATTCTCAATTTCCGGCGCGCACTTGGTGAAGCTGTGTGCCCAGAAGTTGTATCGCCTGCGTGACAACAGATTTATTGTATGAGTATAAAATATAAGGCATCAGACAATAAACACAAAAACATTTCCCGGAGAACACATCTTGCAACAGCACCCATCTCTCCTGCTTTTTCTCCTGACAAGAGATATATGCTTAACTTTGACAGGCGCGAGACCTACACCACGTCATTTAGCCAGGAGATGGAAACAAGTGTAGTGGTGGTGCCATTCGCACACACGACCGTACTTAGCCAAACTCACATGCGAGTAGAATGACGATGAACGTACCTGTTCTTGATCAGCTCGATGAAGGTAATCAACAGGCCCCACGGATGCGGCCGATTCACAATGAGCCTCTCCAGAAGCGTGCGCGTAATCTGCTCCTTCAATCCCTCACTCTTGGATTCTAGGAAAAGAGTTAGCAGCGTACAGGAGAAGTAATATGTGTGCGCATTGGGGTAGCGCAACTGATTGGCCATGGCATTGAGCAGCAGGTAGCGGCCCTCCGCGTCCAGTTCACCCGCCATGCGCACGTACATCTCCTGTGCTCCTGGATGCAATGGGCTGGACACCGTCTTGGCCTGCAGGCGCAAAGCGACAACAAGGTGTTCAATGACTGCAAAAAATGAGCATGGCCTTAAATATATCAGGCTGTTCGTAACAACGTCGATATGACGTTTAGTGCTCGTTTAGGGCATGCCCTACTTGCAAGGCAATACAGGATCACGCCAATACAGCAAAGCCGTTAGCATATTCAAGCTCCCTTTAAAAAACAAACCTGCGAGCCAATGTACAGCACAAGGGCGTTGATCAGTGGCACGTTGTACGTCAGTCCGCTGCTTGAACCACCCAGCAGTGCACCCGGACCACCCGGACTGCCAATCTTGTCCGCAGACCCCGGCATCATCATACAGCGCTTGGCCAGCTCCTGCGGCAGGTTGCCGGGCGTCCGGGTGCGGAGGAAGGCATCCACCTGCTGGCGAAGCGCCTCTGGAAGCAGCTGCTCCGGATCTGGCACAATGCGCGGAAGCTGCTGAATTTCAGGCAGTAGATCCACCTGAGGTAGGGCAAGGCGTAGCGTTCTTGGGTTGCTCCATGCACGATTATCCAAAGTCGACCGGTAAATACGTTGGGTTTTCAGGACCCTATTTCCATTACAGGCAGCCCATCCATTGCATGCGCAGCGCAAGGCTGGCAATAGACACGGCACGGTACATACACAGCCGCCATCGAAAAATGAAGTGACGAGTTACCATGCATCTGCGGCTGGCGGTGATGCAGCCAGTCGCTGGCGCTTACCTTCAAGTTCGGTGTGAAAGGGTCTGGCAGCCGCATGTTACGGGGGAAGGCTGACAGGACCAGGTTGCGCATCTGAACGGCTGGCGGTGGAATCGCCTCGCACAGGCTGAAATGATGCTCGCAGAGGAACCTGTATAGTGTCAAACAGCGCTCGGTTAATGCCAAATGTACTCCCCGCAGCCGGGTATTTGCCGGCAGCACCAAATTAACAGAACCGCACCGCATAACCAGGAACAAACTGATCACATAGCTTACTCCGGGAAATCGTGCAGGAGAACCAGCAGCAATCGCAGGCAGCCCTTGTAAAGCTGCTTGATCGACTCCGAAAGGTCCGCCGCACGTAGGTAGGGCTCCAAGAAGCGCAAGAGCGCAATCAGCAGGGACGCAAACAGTGGCCACCCGCTTGCCAGCGGCGCAGTTAACACACGTGGCATGAAGGAGCGGTGCGAGATAAGTTCAAGCCAGCCAAATGCAAAGCCGGGTACCGATAGCGGCTGCAGTGCGTGTAGAGCCACACCACAGGCCCGCAGGTAACGGAGCTGACTGGCCTGGTCAGCAGCGGGTGGTGGTGTGGCGGCATTCACCCCATCTGCGCTGTTCGCTGAGGTCGCAGCGGTTGCCGACGCAGCAGCATGGGAGCCCGGCATCATGCCCAGCTCGGACATTAGGCCAACCCAGATTCGCAGGTAGGGGCGCGCATTGAACTTGATAGTTGCCTCATCCGCATCGCGCTTGATGAGCCCGACCAGCAGACTGAGGTATCTGCGTCACGGTGTGAAAAGCGGAAACGGCTTAGCACATGAGGATGCACATGAGAGGCATGCTGGTGAACAAAAGATGCAGCTCCACATCCAAATCTGCTGCTCTTTCACAGGTCATGGACCAAGGATGCCTTGCCTGTTGAGGAGGGGCTCGCCGCCGTTTAGTTGCACTACGAGCGCCGCAACCAGCGACACCAATGCATCGGTGGCAATAAAACTGAGCGGACCCGAGCCCACGGCCTCTGGACGAGCACCGGCACCAGCAGCCGCTGCCGCTGCTGCGGCCTCTGCCGACGCCAAGCAGTGTGCAACCGCCAGCTCAGTAAGCGTCCGCAAGAAGCGATCAGTCGTGTCATCCATCTTGAGCACTCCAGCGGCCCGGACTTGGCCGTTCAGGAAGCCATGCAATGCCTGCTCCGAGGGGTGTTGGCAAGCCAATTAGGAAATGCACCTGGCATTGCTTTAATTCCAAGGTGGCGTCATCCTTCCCACCCGTCAATGCATAAAACAACACGGCACCCCTACCTTATCCTCGGCATGCATGTTCAGGAGGTGGACCCAGTCCTCGAACAGCTTCAGCGACTGGTCGCGAAGGCCAGGCGGATCGGCAGCCTTCTCACGAACCGCACCGGGGATTTCGGCTGGTGAACGGCTGAGGACCGGGGCAACAGCGGCCTGTAGAAACAGCGCCACCGGGAGGAAGAAAGGAGTATCGGCAAGGGAGTGGTATGCATACAAGTATATGGGAAATCCTCAAGCCAGCTTAGTTGGTAGTGGAGGCCACATATCTGCGCAGGCAGTAGCAACGGAATGCTTGGCCTTGCCAAATTGTTGACCTGCAACCCTGAAGGGGACAACCTATTAGGGGATAATGCTCCCCTTTGGTTCATCCCCTAACTGCACATCCTACGCCCCTACTTGTTATACCCATGGCAACCCGAGCAGTTCCCAAACACAGTTTACACGGGGTCTGCCGAGTCGCACCTTCCGCGCTGCCTCCACCAAGCTAGCCAATGGAGGGTTGGCGGCTGCCATCCTGCCCAGCAGCTCCATGGTGAGCGGCAAATCCGTGAATACCACCACACCACCATCGCGCAGCGTCATAGCGCGCAGCAGAAAATATACGAGGTCCGACACCGCCTGTAGATAGCAACAGACAGATGGATTTGTCCAGTCCACAAGCTCCCATAACCACAAGCTTCCATAATTATATATACGCCAGGAGTCGGCGACCAACATGGCCGATCCACAATACAGTCAGGGGCTAAGAGCTCTGCGTCGCAGTCAGCAACCCCTACACACGAAACAGCATCCCCGTAGACACGAGTGTTCCCGATATGTTCGCCCTTCCGTGCATAGAATAGCAACCACCACTCCTTACGAGGTAATGCACCCGCACCTGTGTACGAGACACCGGCGTCTGCAACAGCTTCGATAGATAGGCATCGAGCTCCAGCATGTTCAGGAAACGAAGACGCAAGAGCATCTCCATTAGAGCCGGGTTGAACTTGCGCTCGTCATCAGCGCTCAGGTACGCCATTGTCAACTCGTTAACGACGCGCCCACCAGGCACCATATTGTTGAGCAGCTCCAGGCAGGCGCCGTGGAAGGACACCGACAGCTTGGAACCTGACGCGGCAGCGACCGAGTCATACAGGTGCTTGAGGATGCGGCGAGCGAAGAAGACCGCCGCATCCTCGGGCGGCGCGGCACCTGACGTCAGCGCCTCGCTCAGCTCCGCCAAGAGGGCCTGCGGCAGCAATAACCGCCCAAACATAAAACGCAGGTTTGACGCCCGCAATTTGTTAACGTTGACTCCAGCCTCATGTGGGAACCTGGGGTCAGGCCAAGAACCACGTAAAACATGTAGTGAAGAAAGTGTACCTGCAAGTCCGAGTGGTCTGCTGTGGGGTTAGCGTCCTTCCCAGCGACAGCGGCGTCCACCGCCTGTTGCCAGAGGAGGTAGCGGTCCAGTAGTGCAGCAGCGGCGGCCACATCTGGTCGAACATCCAACGCTGAAACGACAGGCGGCTTGTCTGCACCACCCGCAGCTGCAACCAAGGCGTCCAAACCCTGCAAGACGTGCAACAGGCACCAAGCTATTCTCCAAACACTTGAAGACATCCTTACTATGCTAGAGCCTACTTAGGGCTTATGCTAGTGTTTTAACAGGAACGGAGGACTTCAAAGGTTAAAAGTCCGATACCCGGGTAGATATTAGGAGGCGCCGCAGCATGATTCGAACCGGTAGCCTATCTCACCTGGAACGAACCAGGAGGAGCCCCGGCTACTGCATATGCACCCGGTGGGCGGGGGGAGACCCCTGGAGGTGGCGGCGGAGCTCCCGGGCCCGGAGCCACGAGGGCTTGATTCGAACCGACCGCCAGCGCAGGCGATGTAGGGATTGGCGGAGTACGTGGGATTCGGGTGAAATCCTCATATACACGGATGTGCTGGAGATTAATGCCACCGGGGCGGGGCCGGAGACTTTCCGGCAAGCTACCAGGGAACCTGGACCCCGCGCCGTGGAACGCAGCCGCATCTACCCACTGCTTGCCGGCCGCACGAGCTTTCGCGCGCTCCTCATAAGCAGCCTGCCATGTCCATGGGTTCCAGACGGGGGTGCGGCAACGCCATGATGTAATAACACGTACAGAACATTCTCCGTTCTTTCGTAAAAAGCCAGTCGTCGATGGAAAGGGTGTCGTCCATCCTTAACCACTAGTGGAAGGCATCCCCTACCATTCACACGCAAACACTGTTTCCATCAACGAGCACACAGGCTTTCTTGCCACTGCGACAGCCGCGCGATGGCAGCCACACGTAAAACTCCACCCCACCTGCAGGCTCTTGTCAATGTCTCGGACGGCCTTATCAGTGGCAGCCCGCTCAATGAGGTTACAACCCAGGTCCAGGTTGTCCGTAACCAGAACGCTGATGATTTGGTCGAGCATGGCTGCGTCAGCCACTTGCGGCTGCAGGCGGGGGAGAGGGAAAACAGGGCGGGCCACGCATTCTCCATTTGACACACAATATCGCGCCAGCAACAAGTTTTGCTGTCAAGGGACTATTTAACCCAAATTCCAAATCGGACATGTTAGCTCCGCACCTGAAGCATCTGTCGCAGCTGGTTGGTAAGGGAAATTCGTAGCGGATCTTTCGCTGTCACCAGACTCAGTGAGCCTGCCAGGGACGAGACCATTAAGTGTGCCGCCTTGCGCAACTTGTTCTCGTCGCCGTCACCCGCGAAGTCCTTAAGCACCAGCTCGTACGTGGTGTAGCAGGCAATCGTGACGCTGCGCTCAACCACCGGAGTGATGATCTCGCCGATAGCGCGGTCCACTGCAGCCGGTACATGCCGCTTCAACAGCAGACGCTCGCCGATGTCGCCCAGGGATGGGTTAATAATGACGTGCTGGTGAAGGTTCGCAAACAGTCCCGCGTCAGGTGGCAGACCGGGCGCACCTGCCATGCCAGGCGCGCGTGCAGCTGCAGCCGCGGCTGCCACTGCTGCAGCGGGCGCGGTGACCCCCGGCGGCATGGCCGCACCTGGGGCAGGAGCACCAGCCATTGGGGGTGCACCTGGCATACCGTAAGCCATCGACTGCTGTGGTTGCTGCGGCTGTAGCTGCTCTGGGACAGCTGGGACTTGTGGGGGCGCCGGCATTACCTTTGGCACTGTGTCGATCGAACCAGGACCACCGGCCGACGTGGCCCCTGGCGGCAGCTGCACACCGGATGACGAGCGCAGCCCCGTACCGGACATGGGACCCGGTGACGACGGAGGCGCCGTTGATGGCGGCGCGGAAGGCGGCGCCGGTGACGACGGCACACTCGGCTTGCCCACAGAAGTTGAAACGGTCGCAGGAGCGGAGCTGGTAGGTCCGTCAGAAACAGGTTGCGGCGGCATCTCCGTTGGCAGTTGCTCGAGCTGCCAGTCAGGGTTCGTTATCCGCTCTCGTGGCAGCGTCTTAAGGGTATCCGCTGGCTTTACATCATGTGGGCTCAGGCCAAATGCCTTGAAAATTAGCTCAATCGAGAAGGCGTTGTTCATTTTGAGACCCTGGCGCAAACAAATTCGATCATGATTGTTAGGTGTGCAAATCGCGCATGTAAATCGTGCAGCGCAACTAAACTGGATGCCACCGCCGACCCTCCTATAAGTGCAAGACCAACATCCGCCAGCACCGTTCCTCAGTGACCTTGCAATACACCCGAATCCGGGCTGACACCGGCAGGGGCCAGTGGCAGAGCCCGGAACCCCATGCAAACCAATCACCTTCATTGCGTGCAACTCCGCCAGCAGAGACAAAATCGCTGCTACCATAGGATTCGTGGGCTTGAAGACGCGGCTATGCCTGCAGCCCTCCAGCAACTTCTGCACGAACGGCAAAACAGCAATGAGGCGGCCCCGCTGGTACGCCTCGCAGATAACCTGCTTAAGCTCCAAATCGCGGCTTAACACCGGCTTGTTGCGTGCAAACGTCAGGAGCCCCAGCCAGGTGCCCAGGTTCTTCAGCAGTGCACGATCGTTGGACTCCTTCAAAATGCGCTCCGAGTACAGCAGCACCTGCAAAACACCGTGTGTCCCATAGGTGAGAGCATCCTATGGACTACCGTTCGCGTTTATTTAAGACGACACCGCACCACAATCTCCAGCGCGACTACCGAAGGCTACATTATGCATGCTTACCTTAACGTAGTACATGGTGGTCTTGACCATCAAGCGATATAGCTCGCGGTCGTTCAGGTGATCCAGGAGAGACACGTATAACGTATGGAAGTTAGCCTCCTGGAAGAGGGAAAGGCAAGGGTAAGCCCCAACCGCAAGCAACCTGGAATCCAACTAGGCAGGTTGTTGTCATACATTTCCCGGACAAATACCATGAGCGACACCGACGGCAGCGTACCCCACGTCGTCACAACTGCAAACTAGCGGGCTTCACGGCGCTGAATACCGGGCCTCACCTGAGCCGCTCGCTTCACTACCATGTAGTTGGCAAACCAGGCAAGGTAATCAGGCCAGACACGATCGCGAATTTCTACGCTCCGCGACTCCATGTTGTCCTTAGTTATGTTGTTCATGACGAAGTGAACCCTGAGCGGTAGATGTTTGCAGTAGCCACGGGAAATTCATGTTTTCGGACATCCTGTGTATCGCTACAGCCGATATGGGCATCGCAACTTGGCTACGGTATGGTAACCCTGCTCCTGCTCGTCAGCAAACCCAGCTCCCCAAAACAGCAAATGCTCAAGAAGGCGCCTGGATGGATTGCTTACTTGTCAGCCACAGCTTCTGGAGGCTCTTTAAAATCGCGATACTTTTCCGCTGCGCTCTCCAGACTCTCGGTGTTCACAAGAGCCGCCAGAGACGGTCCCATGGGTGCTGACAGTGATGCCGCAGCAACTTGCGCAGCCAGGTACATACCTGCGCCCTCCCCTTCACCTGCAGGCACCATTAACGAAAAGTATGCTACTCATGTAAACAGACAAACATATAAAGCATTACAACGGATTGCGACCTCACTTCGCGCTTACCAGAAAGGCTTGTGTTGCTTGGTTGTGGCGCCTGTCCACCAGAAGCGGCCGGCACTGATGCTAGACCGCCACCGCCTGCATTCAGCTCCCGCGCTCCGCCCTTGCCACCAGCCGGAGCTGCGTTTGACATGGAGGGCTCGCCGCCTCCGGTCGCTGCACCCACAGTCGCCCTTGCCGACGCGACGGCGTCCTTGGCGTTCCGCGTGATGGAAGGACCTGCCGCTGCAACAGATGCCTCGTCTTCCTGGCCCGCCGCAGCGCGTGCAGTATTATCGGCTGGCTGAAGATTAAGGAAACGTGATGACCCATGAGTGTTCGCCTCCAGCGCTCCCATGTGGCTATGCTGCTGTGGCTGGCCCGGTACTTGCTGCTGCCGTGGCTGATCCACCGCAGAAGCGGATCCGCCCTGAGGTGCACCACCTGCTCCGACCGGGGGCAGGCCAGGGAGTGTACCATTGCCTGTGACACCGCCAGCTTGCTGGGCTTGCTCCACGCGCGCGTACAGCTCCGCGTCCGCCTCCCGTAATTGGGGATTGGATAATAGAGCTGCGCAGAACTGCGGCCACGGAGCGATCATGTGCACAAACTGCCGCAAGGCCTGCGAAAACAGGAAGGGTGAAGGACAATCGATCACAATTACCCAATCGCATATAAATCGCCTCACATTCAGACACATACCCATGTCACTTCAGCACAGGGTATTTCTAGTTTAGCCGAACCAAGTGAATAACGACGCACCTCAATTCCAAAAGTAAACATCTTAGATGGTGCTGGCTTGCGCAAAGCGTCAAGTACATAGCGCAACGCCATCCCCAGGGTGATGCTGCTGACAAGACCGTGCTTTATAAGCGAACCAAACAAGGTTGCTGTAATAAACAGCTCTCGATCCGGATAGCGCGAAAAGAACCGATACTCATCGAAGAGGTTGTGGATCATGCAGGCAAACACTTCCTGCAAGCGAAAGAAATTCCACGTCATCAGCATCGACAATGCTCTAAGCTGGTACGCACAGCTGCGACGAAGATAAAGACGGGTTACCTAAAGTCTGTTTTGGCTAATTCGTACCTGCTCGCGGGGGTTGAGCGAGGATTTGTATGCTTGCATGCGAACAATAATCTCCTCTATCGGGCGTGCCTCGTTATAGATCGCCTGCAAGCAAGAACCAGCCAGCGCTTAGCCTTCGGCTTCCTGCTGATCTGTTGCAAGGCATGGAGGTTACCCCGAACCGCCCCGTGCTAGGCCCCACCTGGAAGTAGCTGTTCGCCTCCTCCTCAACGTCACTAGCGAAAGTATCCGAGGTGGACAGAGTGGTGATGTGCGCCGTTAGAGAGGGAAACTGCTTTGCCAGGTTGGATTGGACCGCCTGAAAAAGAAAACCGTTCGACATGTTCAGTACCAGAGCCATTTGCCTCTCGGAATTCTTGGCATCGCGGTACATCAAAATTAACACGATGACACAACATTTGATACCAACCGTTAAGTCCAGAAATGTGACCAGAGCATTCAATATTCCCATCAATCATTCACAATCCCGACTAAGATCAAGGCAGAAAGGGTCTCCTCAATATACCTGAAGTTCTCGGAGCATTTCCACGGGAAGCCCCTGCGCTGAGGCCTGCAGGACTTTTAGGAAGGCACGTGCAGCGTCTGCGTTTAACGGCACGCCACGCCTGACATCCGCACTGGCACCCGGTACTCCAGGTGCACCGCCTACCGTCGTGCCACCTGGAGGATCAGATGTTTTGTCCACGACGTACCGCAGCATACTGGGTATGGCGGTCATGGAATCCCGATTGCAGTAATCTGATAGCCAGGCCTCCAAGTTAATCATGCCGGCACCGCCAGCGAAGGCGGCAAGCTCAAGGGCGAAAGCAATAGGCGTATTCGCCAGGACCTGCATAAAACCAGAAAGCATAACTATGTGCAAGCATACAGCGGCCATCATATGCATGGAGAAATGGCGTGATGGGTGAACCGCCATATACCCATAAGCAATAAGCAACTATGTACCTCACCCCGTCATTATGTGCCTGCATGTCCCACATGTCAGTAACGTTTAGAAGAACCGTACCTGGGGGAGAACACCGAGGTCCGCGCAGACTTTCGCGATTCGGGACGTCATGTGTGCTGGGTCCTGTGCATAAAGTTCAATAAGAAGGTCCAGCAATACCGTGGGTGGTGCTGCGGACCATACACGCGTCAGCAGCTCGCGGCTGCGCTTGCCATTCACTGCGCCCGTGCTTGCTGCTGCCAAGGCGACATGCTGCGGCAGAAGGGCCGCAAAGACATCTCGCTGAAGCAAGTTCCAGTCCGTACGTGTTTCCGCAATTGTGATCAGCAGGAGGTCAGGGCAGGTTGCGGCAGGAAACTGAAGCACATCCCGAGCTGGGCCCACAAGCCCTGCACTTTCCATGAGCATACACAGTGCCTGCGTAGGACCAAGCCAGGAGGGGTCGTGTCGTAAGCATTCATACGGTTGAACTTTTACGTCTCATGCAAGGAAGTGGGGCAAACTCATCACAGCAGCTGGTAAAGTGCACTCCAAGACCCGGATCCCTCCAAGAATTAAGGTCCACGTGAACTTTTAAGATTCACATAGAAAAGCCTACGAATACCACCACGGCGAGAGCAGAGGGATATGCACCTGAAGTAGGTCGACCGACGCCCAAGCACGGTTCGGACTAAGCGCTGCCACGTCCATGCCCTCGAGAAGAGTCACCAGACGCTTTGAGCTCTCAAAGCTGAACACGTCAGGCGGCGCCACCGATGCCGCCTTCAGGAAAGACAGCTGACAGGCAGGGTGCTTCCACATGCGCGTTAAAGCTGCTACAGGCAACTGTTCCCCGGCACCACGGCGAAACGCTGATGCCAATAGGGTGAATGCTGCAGCGTCGGGTAGCAGGGCACGTTCGCAATCCAAGCACTCGGCCACTTTAGCCCAGTTAAGCCTGCTTGGTTGCCCTGGCGGGTGAGACTTGAGGCAATCCACCACTAATGGCCAGTTCCAGGTGGTTACTGTAACCGATCTTGGGGGAGGGTTTCCCAGATTCAGCGTCACCCAGAGTGAAAAATGCAGCCCGGGCTCCGACTCCTTTAGTCCGGTGTGAGTTCGAGCCATCATCAGCAGTATCTCAGCGACCACCTCCTCCGAGGGTGGCTCGGGCACCTGTCGTAGAAGAGCCTTAAAACAGGCCTCGTCTGCCGACACAGCGTAACCGAACTCTTGCATAAGGGCGGCAAGGCTGCCATGATAACCCTCCAAAACGTTCTGAACTGCTGCGGAACCAGTCCCCTCGGAAGCCATCGTCAGCAAGCTGTCGGAAGCCTGGACAGAGCTATCCTCAATGAGAGGATCCACAAGCGACGCGTGTGGATTTAACAGAGCTGCGTGGACGGGGGATCCACGAGCCGCGGAGCCTTCAGCAATCTGCTGGGCAAGAGCTACAAACTCGCCGAGTTGCGACCGTTCAGTCGCCAGTAACGCAGTAAATTTTGGAAGCAACGCTGGTGATATCCGAACCAATGCTGCCTCCGGGTTGCTAAGTGCCGCCCGAACAACTGCAAGGCCTGTGGGGGGTGCCGGTGAGCGCGCACATTTTCCGTCAGCGGGCAAAAGCGCGGCCATCAGTGCGCAGGGCGTCCATAAAATTCATCACGTCATCCAGTTAAAATATATGTTGGACCTGCACAATTACATCAGGCCTAAACCAACCCAAGATATGCGCCGATCTAACGAGTCTTCCGAGTGCTCACCTTGCTGTTTAGCAGCCGGCCCTGGGAGATGATACGCTGTTACACCTAGTTTGACGAGCTCCCCAGGAGTCGACAGCCCCAGGACCCCGGCCAAGTCAAGGAAAAAATTGGTGTCCGCGGAAACGCAGACCGTGAAGGCCTGAAATAAGAGAGTTCCAAATGCTTGCGAATCGGCTATGTGAGAATAAGCTAAGACTGCGAGCCGCTTGAGGGCTCTGAGTGTGTCAGGACTGCTGGGGGCTGCAGCGATGGCGCTCGTCGACGCGTGGAGGAGTAGGACGGCTGCGGAATTTCCGAAAACTGATAGTAGCTGTGGGAAATAAAAAAGTATACTGTTAGCGCGCGGAATGCATGATCAAATCGCGAGAACCGTCAGGACGGGGCTAACCTGCTCTGCTATTTGCTGTGTAGGGTTGGCAACTAAGCCGTTGATTCTCTCATGTAACGCCTCCAAAAAGGGCAGAGGCCCCATTCCTGCGCCATCCTGCCGTCCTACCTAACAAAGCCCTGACGAAGTCGGGGATTAGAGACGGTCTTGACTAGAGACTGTGCCGTACAGAGAGGCCCAGTTTGCCCCAGTTGCAGCCGCCGTGCGAAGGGTCGACCTATGACATCTTCATGTAAGCATTGTGAAGCTCTCACTACTGAGCGCTTTGACGCTCCGTTCCTGGTGGTAGTGCGCAATAACCGCCTCGCTTTGTACAAGTAAGCTGCGAGAGGAGTTACTTTGTACTAACTTTCCTAGCTTATTCGACCGCTGGGATAGGTCCCATTTGCTAGCGATGTAATTATGACAAAATCATGGGAACAGGGATATGCGCAGCCTTTGCACAGCCATATGCAAAGTTCACGATGGTGTTGCGGGGTACTATGGGTTTAAAATTGACAATGTGTTCTCCGGTTAGCATACAGTAGCGTCCTTGCACTTCTTGCACGCGATAAAATTTTAGCGCGGCAAGCATCCCCCAAGAGCATAGTGTGGAGCTGCCAGACAAGCGAGCGCCCCGGCATACATACCGCGTATGTGAAGCGCAGCCGCGCGATAATGTATTGCATGGGAAGCCCCAAGCCGCACACCTGCCGCGGCATTATACAAGTTACAAGTTCCGCACAAGTGCGGGGTTGTCCGTAAAAGCCGGGGGTGCCATGGACGGTAAATCGTTTTTAGTGCGGTTACGTGGTGGACCATCATCGTCCTCCCTCGTCCGCTTGAGCACGAAGCGCCTTAGTGCAACGTGCCGGGTCTCCCAGACTTGCGAGAGGAACCTGGCTAGCGCCAGGGTTAGGGCCTCGGTCATAATCGTGCGCATGTTGCGCCCTTGAAACGCGAGGTCACGTTCGTACTTAGCCCGTGTACTTGCGTACGCCGGGCATTTCACAAAGACATGCATTTCGTCTTCAACCGCCCCGCAATCACAGAGCCTGCAGGTGCGCGCTGTGCGCTCACGGCTGTTAGGTCGGTTAATCTCTAACTCCCAACAGCCTAACCGGAAACGCATCAAGCATTTGATGCAAACATTGGGGCATGGCGATTTCAGCGTGGGCCAACCACTCATGCCTCGTGGGCCTAAGTGGGGGCGCCCTCATCCAATTCAGATAGCGACATGCCTTAACGGCGGTACTTCCACTTGGGAAGGTGCGCGGGTCGCCTAGGGTATCCGGGCACTCCCACCGGGAGTCGAGCCGCCTAGCGAACTCTTTTAAGTATGCTTCCCACTGGCAACCTAACGGTGGCGTAATGCGCTATGAGGTCGTCACCACGCAGACCGGCTGGGGGCTCAGCTCCCAAACTCTTAAGGAAAGCCAGGTCCTTGCCCATCAGCACTCAGTAACACCCCCCAGAGCCAGCTCGAGATCGGCAATGAAGGCCCGGTGGCACAGCGTCCCCGGCCTCTTGACAACAGTGTTCCAGAACCTTAACACAAGATTGGCCCAATAGAACTGGAGCGGCCTCTGTGACAGCTCGCGATAAAGAAATTATATGTTAGTATATGGCTGCTGCATATGCGGATCGAGAGCATCTGCCCGGCATACCCCGACCAGCCTAGCCCTGAAGATGAGACCTATAAGATACCGGACACCTAGCTATCGCTCACTCGCCCTCTTCACGACATGGGCGCTGCTCGTTATAGGTCCTCTTTTTATTGCAGCCAGCAAACCCAGTTGGTGTCTTGGCCCCGGCTTCTTGACGTCCTGCACAATGTGCAGCAGCCAAAAGCGCTTCGACAGGCACGAGCGGGCCTTACAGCCCTCACCGACCTATGTGCCACAGCCTTTATCCCCCCGACATAGAGTGGCTTTGAAGTCAGTGGTTAAACTTCTTGTTGGCTGTCTGGCTTGTGGTAATTCATGAGCGCCCCGTGCCCTGCCGAGCATTCAAGAGCCCTGAGGTGGTGGCTTTGGTGGTTGGTGGCTAATAACGGTGCCCACACGGTTGGCCAACTCCCCCTCGGTGACCTTTCCTTTGTGGGCCGTGCTTACTGTATCCCGGTCCAAGTCGTGGTGCGTGGTCCACCCCGATACCTCTTACGGCCTTTAATGGCCAATATAGTGTTTGGGTTATTCGGTCGGCACCGGATGAGGATGATGAGGTCGAGTCGGGGACGGGTGGCATGGTGGCGGGAAAAGTCCTCAGCCGAGGCACACAAGGTGACTGGCGTGGCTGGGCTGGCCGTGAGCACTGCTGAGACAGACACGGCTGCAGCACGCACACCCTCAGCAGTTTTAGTCTTCAGCTGCAGCTTCAGCCCCCCTGTACCCCAAACGTAACATCGTAACTGGCTTGACCGTAGGCCCTGTGGATGATATTGTTATGACCCACCGGTTCAGGGGTTTGCCCGCCGGGGTCACCGGGGTCAAGGCGTGCAATTACCACAAATGGATGGAGGCACCGCCCTGGGAGGGCGCGTGCCCTGGGTGGCTCATTCACGCGGGGACCGCCCTCCCCAAGCAGGTCCTCATGCGCTTTAGGTCGGGATGTTGGGAGCTAGAGGTCAACAGGAACAACGACCGCGAGCGTGTCGCACGTACCTGCAGGCTTTGTGACTGCGGAGCGGTGGAAGATGGATTACGTGTGCTTGGAGAATATATCCCATTTATGATGGCTTGAGGGCTAAGTATGGGAGTGAGCTCGTGTTTCAAGGGCCCAGGATGCGCACCGTTTGCTTTTTGCAACCCAAGTCCGAGCAATTCTGTTGTATGGCTGCCAGGCGTGGGGCCCTTTTGCGCTGGCAGAGGTCGTGGACAGGGTGGGAAGGCGGCGGGATAAAGCCAACCTTGCGGAGGGCATGTTCGAAGCCTGTTTGAAGGATAGCGCAGTCCAGCTGCAGATTTTATTCATGAGGCAGGTAGTGGGGACGGCACGGCCATCCCACAGGCTGTTGTATGCGGAGCTGGCTGAACTCCCCTTACAATATTACATGGTGAAGCAGATCCTCCGTTTCTGGAACCGGCTTCAAAAGCAAGTGGGGTCCATTGCTCATGCAGTTTTACGGCAGGAGATAACCGATGCCCTGACCAACCCGGAATGAGAGGGTTGGGGAACCTCAATGTTACGACTGTTTTCCTTCTTGGAGTGCAATATTTGGAGCGGAATACCGCAAGAAGCCGTGGGGTAAAGGAGCGTGTTGACTGCTGGTTGAGT